GCTCGTCTGCTTCAGGAGACGCGCCGCGTTGCCAGTGCCGTGCCAGTGCCGTGCCTGCGTGCCTGCGTGCCTGCGTGCCTGGTGGCCTGCGTGCCTGCGTGCCTGCGATTCTCGCGCCAGGCTACCTACCAGGCCGCCAGGCTGCCAGGCTGCCAGGCTGCCAGGCTACTACCAGCTCCGGCAGCAAGCCAGCCGAGGCTCGCCCCACGCCGCACGCACGTCCAAGCTCCAACGTCGCTTCGCCTGCGGCTCTCGCTGAAGGCTGTTTCGACGACGATCATCGTTGAGGCTGTGTGCGCCGCCCTCGCCTTCGTGCCCAAGTTCCCCGCAGCGTCGACGCCCCATTCTCGAGGCCCGCCCCGTCGCCCTTCCGCTGCCTTCCTCGCCCTTCCTCGCCCTTCCTCGCCCGCCTCCCTGAGTCCCATCCTTGCTCCAGGGTTGCCTCGGTGCCTCGCCTCCCCCCCGCACCGGCCTCACTGCCAGAAAGCAGCAGCATGGCCGCCAGCCTCAGCGGCGCCACCAGCCACCACGTGCTCCATGCCGGCGTCGAGCCAATCGTCTCGGAAGCGTGATTGGGAACCGTCATGATGGTATCCCACCGGACCTCTCTGCCTGACTCGGCGCGCCGGTTTTCTGCTGTCTATCTGACGCCAGCCTTGTTGTGATGCGCATGTTTCAGCCAAGCGCTCGAGCAAAATGGTGGCGCTGCTCTCGTCGCCCCTCGCCGCGAACCCGTGGCCTTACGCCGGATGAGGCAGGTCAGAGGAAGGGAGCAAGAAGCAATGGAAGGCGTCACGTCAAAATGCGGCGATTGCCAGCCTGTTTGGCAGCCCGAGGCTTCGCGTTTCGTCGGAGATAGATTGGGCCACGGTGCTGTCGCAAAGCCCGGCAGCTGGCACGCACGAGCCGCCTTGTCGACGATTCCCTCCTCCGAACAGCTGGCGGTTGTGCTGGCTGGCTGGAGCGGCAGAGCTTCGGGCAAGGACGTTTGCACTGTATCGGACTGGACTGAACCTTGCTCCACCCCCGAACACGGGGAAGCTTGCTCCCGCCGGTCCGCCAGCTGCAAGCTAAATTCAACCAGCCGGGGTATATTGCTGTTGGGCACTGCTGCCCCCTCCAACAAGAGCACTGGCCAGGGGCGGCGTAAGCATTGCTGTTCCAATCAGCACCCCTTCTCGTCTCTCTATTTCGCCACGAAACCATGCCCCTCTCCAGCTCTCCACTTTCTGCAGGTGTCAGCCCATCCGCAATCCCACACACCGCCAGATGCATTTTTTTTCTTTATCTCTCCGTGGTCGGGTCAGCAGACCGTTTGACGGGACAGCCGGGTGCCCGCCTCGGGTTGGCTTCCTTGGGCCTTCCGGACCCGCGTAAGCTTTTCGGATGCTACAATCTTATCCACCACCCAGAGTGAACATGCTCAATCAAGCAATCCGAGCGGGTTTCGTGCTCAAACATCAGTCTCGAGTCATTGCACGTTCTGCCTTGTTTAGATTTAATTTAGATTTGATATTTTTTTGGAAGTTACAAGAGAAGAGCTACATGTTGAGGGAGAAAAAAAAACTAAAGTGAGGTATCTGCGAATAATAAATGTCCTGTAGATGATCCATCCAAGAGACCAACAACACCTCGCAAAACCCGCTGCCGCATTTACCGCCCAAAGAAACACCGTGAACTAGTAGAAAAATGCCGATGATGCGAACCATAGTGCAATGCTCATCATCATGACCGCGTTAAACAACCATGTGTACACCGTCTGCCTCTAACCCGCGCATCGTCTCTCGAATTTTTGGAACCTTTTTTGTTTTTTGTTTTTACCGGTGCGAGGCGCCTAGAAGTCCTCGCCGTTCTCATCGGTGTCTAGCCAGCCACGGCACATCTCGACGGCGCGGCTCCACTTCTTGAACATCTTGGCGCTCTCATCCTTGCTGATGTTGGGCTCGAAGATGACACGGTCCTTCTGGTTGATGTCCTTCAGCTCGTCAAACTCCTTCCAGATGTCGACGGCGAAGCCTGCTGCGATGGCTGCGCCAAGAGCAGTCGTCTCGCGCATCGAAGGCCGGTTGACGGAGATGCCGATGATGTTGGCTTGAGTCTGTCAAGGCTGGGTCAGTCACTGATCAAATCATACGGAGCCGATTCCTTGGACTTACCTGCATGCAGAGCTCAGACTTGCTCATACCACCATCCACGGCCAACTCCTCGAGCTTGTGGCCGCTGTCCTTCTCCATGGCATCGAGAATGGCCTTGGTCTGGAAGCAAGTCGCCTCGAGAGTGGCTCTGGCAATGTGGCCACGCTGGGTGTGCTGAGTGATGCCGAAGATGGTTCCCTTCGCATCGTCGATCCAGTAGGGCGCGAACAGACCGGAGAAGGCGGTGACGAAGACGGTGCCGCCGTTGTTTTCCACGCTCGCTGCCAGCTCGCCGACCTTGTCCGAGTCACGGATGAAGCCCAAGTTGTTCATAAGGAACTTCACACCAGAACCGGCCACGGCAATGCTGCCCTCGAGCGCGTAGACGGGCTTCTTCGCACGGCCGAAGTCGTACGCGACGGTAGCCAGCAGGCCGTGTTTCGAGATGACGGGGGTCTCGCCGACGTTGTACAGCAAGAAGCAGCCGGTACCGTAGGTGTTCTTCGCGCTGCCCGGATTGAAGCCCTGCTGGCCGACGAGCGCGGCCGACTGGTCACCCAGGCAGCCGGCAATCTTGACGCCCTTGAGCGGGCCGTCTCTAAGGCAGCCGAAGGCTGTTGCGCAGGACGAGGGGACAATCTTGGGGACGTGGAGCTTGCTTCTCTCGAGCTCGAAGAAGTCGAAGAGCATGTCGTCGTACTCGCGCGTCCACAGGTTCATGAACATAGTACGAGAGGCATTGGTGGCATCAGTCACAAACACGTTGTTCTCCTTACCGCCGTTCAGGTTGTACAGCAGCCACGTGTCGACGGTGCCGAAGGCGAGCTTGCCTGCGTCGTAGGCCTGCTTCACGGCGGGCACGTTGCGGACCAGCCAGACGAGCTTGACCGCCGAAGGGTAGGTCGACAGCGGCAGGCCGCAAAGCTCGGGCAGCGCCTCGGAGCCCTCCTTCTGCTTGAACTCACGCACCAGGTTCTTGACACGGGTGTCGGGCCAGGCGATGGCGTTGTGCAGGGGCTCGCCGGTCTCAGCATCCCACACCAGAACCGTCTCTCTCTGGTTGGTAATCCCAACCGCCTTGATGTCCTCGATACTGTGTCCCAACTTCACAAATTTCTTGGTCGCCTCGTCGATGCACTCCTTTACGGTCTGCACGAGCTCCCACGGGTCGTGCTCGTGCCACCTGCATGAACGATCACATGTCAGCGCTCAGTCCCCCTGACGGCCCCACAAAAGAACCTCGCTCCAAAGATTCTCCGCGCTTCGAAGGAAAAAAAAAGTTGGAGAAGGCTGCCGAAACGGGAAAAAAGGATTGACTCACCCAGACTCCGGGTATTTTTGCGTGAACTCGATCTGGTGCATCGCGACCGGGTTGCCGGTGCCGTCGAAGATGATGAAACGCGAGCTCGTAGTGCCCTGGTCGATGGAACCAATGAAGAACTTCTCCATGCGCTTCTCGTAGCTCTCGCTGCGCGGCAGGCGCATGCTGCCGCGTCGTGCCTTGATCTGGGTACCGGCCATGTCCATGGGCGGGCTTTCGCCCTCGGCGGTGGTGGGCAGATCCTTGTCGGAGACGACGGCGGCAGCCATTGTTGCTGTTGTGTGTGTGGTGGGCGTGAAGGGAGAAATGATGGGGGCCTGCGTGGGGGTGCAGAGGAGTTGTGACAAGTCCGCAGCGCTGGAGGGAGGGCGCGGCGGGAGGAGGGCGGCTTTAAGGTGGGAGGCTCGTGATAGGGAGAAGTTATTCCGAGGCACGCGGTGTGTGGCGGCTAAGGTGTGCGTGAGACGGAAAAATAGGAAGCAGTGTTGGGGGTGGGCGTGCAGGAGCGGGCGATGTCGGAGGCGGCGCAGGGAGGCGGAGGGTGCGGAGGGTGCGGACGCCGGGTATCTGGATTGGGAGGGGAGAGGGTATACGGGACGATGGAGGAGAAGAAAGTGCGGGCGGAGCGGCGGCCTTTTCAGTGCCAGAGGAGGGAGACAGGAGGAAATTGGGAGAGCCAGCGCGGCGTGGTCAGCAAGAAAAAAAGGCACAGGGCCGGTGGGTTGTGCGTCAGCCGCTGGCGGCGATGCGTTGCTATGATGTTAGGCCCAGGCGCGTCTCCAGCGGGGCTCCCAGCTGAGCTGCGCTTGGCTCGGGGTTGCGGGGCGCGGAAAATGAGGGGCGAAAGGAAATCTCATTGCACGGCCGCCGCCGCACGTGAACACCAAGTGCGCGGCCCTCTTGGGCTTGATACCACAGCCCCGGCCAGCCCGCCACCCGGCTCGCGGGCCCCTGGACGCCTCGGAGCTGCCATACGCGCCATTGCTCGAGCAGCCCCCGGCGCGCGCAGGAGGCTCGGCGCTGTCTGCCACGCCGCCGCGGCCGCCCTAGCGACACCGCGTACCGGCCGCCGCGCAGCGCCTACCCGGTGGGGCTCGAGCTGTGGCAGGTTTGCCGACGATCCAGGCACGCGGAGCGGCGGGCTGCGGATGTGAACCGCGCAGCTCCCGGCCCATAAAAAACCAAGCATGCGGACAGAAAAACGGGTCTGGAAGATGAGCAGAAACGCAGGTGTCATTATTAGAAATTTCGCCGAAGGGCGAGAAGCTGCCAAACTATCGAAAACTCGCCAAACTGCATGTCCGTTGTGCGCCCGCCGCTTCCAGATCGCGCTCCCCAACCGCGCCCGCCCCGTCCCCATCCCACTGCTCCATGCGGCTCCCAACGACACGTTGCGCCGCACCCCTGCCCCACGATATCGGCCCTCTCGTACCCGCCACGCAGAGCCCAGCGCGGGCCTCCGCATTGCCTAAAAATTGCGCCAAGACGCCCAGAACACCCTGTGACAGCTAAGCAGCGTCTCCCAACAGCCCATCACCGTCCACTCACAATCCCGATTTGATCTCGGGGTCTCCGCCAGGGATGCGCGCGCTCTCGTCCCCCTCCTCGCGGGCCACCACGGCCGCCCTCCGTGCCTCCTCCTCCTTCTCCAACGCCTCCTCCGCACCCTCCCTGAGCTGCATCACGCGATCAACAGGGTTGGGCAGCTTGCCGACGTTCTCCACTATCTGGCCCCTGCCAATGAGACTGACCACAATGCTGGCGCCGACGATGAAGGTCAGCACGAACCGATACGTGCCATACCACGGTGGCGTCCACCCGCGGACCGTCGCGCGCGTATCCGCATAGTACAGGAAGTTGAACGCCATGAACTGTGCAATCAACGCGTACTCGACCGGGAGAAGGATCGTCGGCCACGCGACCGCGGGTGCCGCAACACCAATGGCATATCGTCGGTAGCCCTGGTAGCCCCCGTACCCGGCCCATTCAAGCCCCCAATGGATCGCTCCGAGAAAGGAGATGATCTGTCTCGGGCATCAGTGTCTTGTCTCGGAGAAGAACAGGAGATTACCTACCACCGCGCCGTAGCCAACCTGCAGCGGCTCGAGGACATGCAGAAGCACCTCTGCAGTGTGTTGCGACAAGAATGTGTCGGCGCCCGCTGCCGCATGGTTGACTTCGTAAGCACATGCGACGGTGGACAGGGAGGTCCCCAGGTAAGGCAGGACGCCCGCCAAGCCAAGAACGTATGCCTGGCGCGGGACTTCGGTGAGGGAGAAGGTGTCTTTGATGGTTTCCTGCAACGTGTCGGCCAATGCCCCTATATATAGAGTTCTCTTGGTGTTGCTGTACGTACCACATCCTGCTTGATGCCCTTCATCATGTCTTGTTCCTTCTCTGGCTCGGGCGTGCCGACCTCGCCGAAGATTGGATGGATTGACGATGTCGTCGACACCAGCTCGGGTTCGGGCTCGAGCTTCTTGTGGGCGACGTCTTGCTCTGCCTTTTTGTCCACCTTGTCCCATTGGGTTGATGCATACCGCTGGCGCTGCAACAGGGGTGCCGATGGCGGTTTCCAGGTCGCAGCCGCTGCGCCGTGCGGCCGCTTGGTGTTGCTCAGCGTGCATAGCCTAGAGGCGAGGGGAGACTTGTTGGCGGCAGCATTGAGCGGCATGCGCGCGGTGACGGGGGTCAGCGAGCGCAGCACAGCGCGCGAGGCGGGGAATCGCAGCATTGTGAATGGCGGATTGCTGTAGGCCAACCAAGTGGTGGCGGGTAGGGGGGTGTTCACGGGAAGGATGGTCACGGCGGTCAGTGGGCAGACAACAGCGACGGGAGTGAGGCGTAGTTCCTTCGCGCAACGGTGAGAAGGAAGCAGCGTCTTACACGGCCCGCGACGAGCAGGGCCAAGTTGGATACCTAAGTCTGACGTTACCAGGCTGCATCCGCAGAATGCGGAGGTGGGAAGGGGGTCATAGCTCCGCAGGACTACGTCATGGCCCGCGAATGCGCACAATCCGGCTGCCGGCAGGGGGGAAAGCGCCGAGGATCACAGAACCCCAGCGTCAGTCAAGCTTTGCGCTCTTCCAGCGGTTCGGCTCCACATCTGTTGCGATCCTGATTACTTGGCCCAAGGCTCCGTGCAGCCGCAGCCTCTGTCAAGGATCTGCGGATGCACAGCGCGTCAGCCTTGTGGAGTTAAACTTCTAAATCAACGTCACTCTGACCTCGACGAGCCTTGAAACAGGGTCTGCACCAGATTCGCCATCTCAGCAAATGCGACTTTCCAACATCGCCTCCGGTCCGATTCGTGATCGAGAGTGGGTGCGATCCTCGATACATGACGGAATAGATCCCGCTACACCTGCCGGGACTTTCTGGACACCACCCTGTCGCCCAATACCTTTGCTCTACGCGAGATCAGAGCCGCAGCAAGGCAAGATGATGGGCCCTTGTCCCAGCATTGAAACATCCCTGATCCCAGAACACTGCCGTGAACCTGACGTATGCCGAGTTGGGGTCCGAGAACGATTGCGTCAAGCCCTGCTTCGGCCATGTTTAGACCCTTTCCCTACACCAACATCCAAACTAGGAGCCACTCTGCTGAATTGGGTATGCTGGACCCTTGCCAGTCGAGGGATCCCGGAGGATGCGATTGTTAACATTTCGATGAATGCCACTCCGGCTCTGACCAGGTTGCAGGCACTGTCAAACCGACGCAGCAGATAGTAAACCATTCCTGCCTTCCTAAATTGCATTCATAGGGGAAAAGGAAATACCATGTCATTGGCTTTTGCTACCAAACCATGTGGAAGTATCCTCACGTATCTCGTCCGCTCAACAAAACCAAGGTCACTTCCGAGGTCGCCACCTATTTTCTAACCGACGATTATCCATTAGTCGAAGGATAAATAGCTATGGCAGACTGCTTGATCAAATTAACCAAGAGCATCTACTAGGAAAGCTACAAGGTCTTAAGAGGTGGCCTCTAAGGTGTTCTCGGGTCTATTAAGCGAGAGATAGTACGTAAATCTACATTTACACCTCTTGTGAGTTGCTCAACTAATCACGTTGAGGAAGTGGTTGAGTTCCGTTTGCTTACTAATTGTACAAAAAAAAAAACCAAGGTAGTTGAAGCTCTTGTCTAGATGTTTTTTTTTTGTTGAATAAGTGGACGAGATGGTTGGATTGGTCTCATACACCAGGCGGACGTGCTATGTTTATGTTGACATGGGCAATCTAATACACGATCATCCTTTACGGACTACGTTCGACTTACGTGAGTGGTTAATTCTATGATTTAGATGTCTCTCTAATGTCCACAAGCCAAGACTAGCACGAAATCGAGACGTGTACAACTAGTCCGCAGAACAGCCGTTTGGAAGCACTTAAGGCAGGAAACCGAGGCGCGGGTCTACATTGCCACAGACTGAACCCTAGATCGATTGGACTAAACACCAATGCGGGAAGATCGATGTTAGCCGGAGAGCTGCTATCTGGACGTCTCTTTGTTGCAATATCTGGCGAGTTGATCTCCGCGTATCCTTCAGAAACCACAGAAGAAAGAAACCTTGTGCCAGCATTTGTCCATCACGGAAGATCCACCTACATTACTCGAGGCGCGGAAGTGAATGTGAGCATCAAGGTCTCATACCAGAGATGCCCCTACTCATAAAAGCGTCTGGACGTGATTGGAAACCAAGCCACGCAGCGACCGGAGAACCGTGATAACGTAAGTATCAAACACGATTTGCGCTCAGAGATGACGGCACAGACAATGTATATAAACCACTACAGCGACCGTCTCGACTAAATGTCTGCTCAAGTACGTTAAAGTACAAAGCCAATCATTTTCCATCCATCCAGAATAGTGTACAGCAGCAGAGAGTAGTGATTACCCTCTCGCAAATGTGCCATAAGGTCCGACACACGCTCCGCCCCCGCCCCATCAATTTCAACATCTCCCAGTCACCGAAATCGTCAAGTCAACGCAATTCTCGCTCACCCCCACCCCCACCAATCCATTCTCCCCCCACGCTCATCTCCTGAACTTGGGCTTAACAGCCAAATTCGCTCTCGAAAGGGTCGCAACCTTGTGCACGCCATCCCGCTTCATCCACACCGAACTCGTGCCCTGCACCACGGCGATCAGCTCGCTGGCGAAGCGCATGGCGAAGCCACCCTTGCCGCTGCCCGCGTTCCGCCGCTTCGTCGCCGACTCGAGGATCCACTCGACGGCCTTGCGCCTCCGCTGCCGCAGGCCCAGCGGCACGGGGATCTGCAGCGCGACGCCGCCGCCGGCGGCGCCGCGCTGGGCGCGGATGCGCATGAGCGGGGCGATCGAGTCGATGGCGAGGGTGAGGTAGAGGACGGGGTTGAGGGGGAGGTGGGACGGCGGCGGCGCGCCGGGGAGGAGGGGCCGCTGCGGGTTGATGGTCGGCGGCGGCGCGGTGCGGAGGTGGTTGAGGACGAGCGCCATGTTCTGTATTCCCGGGGGGAAGGAAAAAGGGTGTCAGAGGACTCTATTCATTGGAACATGGTATCGATTTTTTTTTACTGAGAGGGAAGACGTACGCGCTGCGCGACGCTCTTCTTGCCATGCTCCATGAGGAGGTTCGTCACCTGCTCGACGACCGGGTCATAGCGACTCTTGAGTCTGTTCTCCGCGGGCATGGGAAAAGGCACCAGGCCAAACTTTACACCCTCAGCTGTCATTGGTGTTGTGACCGGCCCCGAAGCGACGGCCGTCTGTTCCTGGCGGCGGACGGCGGAAGTCGAATAAGAGCGGCTGCCCTTCGCTCCCGACGAGTTCTTGAGGCTGTCCCGCATGACCTTTGGGAGGTGCTTCTGCGCTTCCTTATCGTTTTTCACGTACTGGTTATGGTATTAGCCAGACGTTCAGCCCCGCCAATCGCTCCCAGCGCAGATGTATCGTTCCCCAACGCCGCATTCCCACGTACCTCGTCGACCGGGGTTCCTTGTTCCACCTCCGGGGGAGGCATCTTTCGCATCTTTGCCATAGCCGCCGCTTCTTCGGTGACGTGAGGTAGGGTGTCGGTGTTTGGTCCCTTGTTGTTCTGCGCCTCAGGTAGATCTTTCTTCGATGCGTCGTCGGCGTAACATCTTCTGATAGCGCGCGGGGCGGCACCAATCTGGCCGGCGCGCCATTGAGGAGCAGCGGGCCTCGGGCGGAGGGCAAGCGATCGCGAAGCTGGAAGCAGATTGAGTCTCGGAGGCATGGTGGGCGGTGTTGTGCGGAGCTGGCAGATGTGAGGTCGAAGTTTGGATGTATGCCCGCAATGGATCGATGGCGCGTCGGCGATTCGATCTTCCGCAGGCGGGCGGAAAACCCTGCCCCAGGCATCCCTCCTTCTTCACGCCATCTCACTACTCACGCCTACATGTCGCGGAAGCACTGCAGTGGAATTGGCAGTTGGTGATTTCGTTTCTACAGCGTCTATGCTGACAAAAGTGCGTTACAGCATAACAGTAGCCCATAAGAATGTCGTTCAAGAAGAGCACTCCGTATGCCGCTCATGCAGAGGAATATTCCCGCCCGAGACCCGATGCCAGAAGACGCAAAGACCACAAGAGAGGGGAAAAATATTTTCCAGTGCGCCAAAACAGGAATCGAGAACGCCATTGCCCCAGTAGGAACCCGAGATAAAACTCCCGTTCGAAGAAAGGGAAGGGATAACAGACCAAAGAACTCCTCTTTCCGTTACTCCGTGCGCCACTGCAAATGCTGCAAGAACGCCGTGTTGTTGTACCGTGGCGCCGCTGAGAGTTATGAGGAGTTGCCTTCAATCACGAGGATCCGTTCACTTGGTCCGTATAGCAGACCCATCACCTTGGTCTTCTGTCGTTCCCGCACGCCGTGGAGGTACTCGTACGTGCCATCGAGGCCCCTGATCTGGTCTTCGATCGCAAGCGTGCTCGACTCGTTGCTCCTCAGCAGCGGGCTGATCAGCCGTTTCCTGAGCATCTCGAGATTGCTCTTGAGCTGCTGGAGCTTGGCACGATGGTCACCGAGTGCACCTTTATTGAGCAGAGTGCGGGCGCGCAGCGAGGCCAGGAGTTGTCGGTTCTTCTCGTACTTGCGCAAGCGAGAGGCATTGGCGCCCATGAGGCGTGTCCACAGGCTCGACAGCAGATCGCCTTCCTCGCGCTCCTGTTGGTCTGTTTCGCGAAGCACGGTGCGTTGGAGATTGAGGAACTGGCGATCAATTGACTCGTACAGGCTGAACAGGGCAGTGGAGGCAGTGAGTTCGTTGTTAATACTCTCCTCGAGCACGTTAAGGAATTCATTGAATGTTCGCTGCAGGGTTGCCTTGGTGCGCTGGGGACTTGTCTGGCCGAACAGCTCCCTGACGACCTTCCCGACCGCCGTAGGTGCGCCAGAAGACGTTTCGAGAAGGCCGACTCGGCTCAAGAGGCGGTGCATATTGCCGAAGACTGACGACAGCGAACTGTCTGGAACCGTCTGGATATGCGCCAGCTCGCGCTTCGCCCAGTCCATGACTATGAGGATACTACTTAGTGTCAGCGTCACCGGCCTTGGACTCAGCCAGACTGTGCGACTAATATACCTATCGACATCCCCGTCCACGTTTGCAAAGAACTTGGTCAATTCTACCGAGAGGGTTTTCAGGCTTTCGCTCAGCTCGTCGAGCTCCTTAACTATAATGGGCGCCGAGGTCATGTTCGTCAGACGCACGCTTTCTCCAAGATCCCAAACCGCGACACCCGTCTCTTGCAAGTCTCCTATCTGCGACACTCCATTTTCGCTGTAGTAGATGAACGGCTCGAACGCCTTGGCGAGGCCCGCAACCTTCACGAGATCCGGAACGTGGCCCGCCGACGGCGGCTGCAGGAGGAGGCGCAGACTGAAAATTGACAAAAGACCCACAAAAACGGAAATCAGAGTCGACGTCCGGGACTTGGCCACCATCGAAAAGTTGTCGCTCAACCACGAATACGCCGCCTCGTAAGGCTCGGTGCGGTGCTGCACTTCTGCGCGCAGCGCGAGACGGATATCTGCTACATTCAGCGCATGCGACCGGGCGTTGCGCGCCCCATACATACAGTTGTTGGCATGCGCGGCCGCCGTCGCCGAGAGACCCTGCTGGGGCGGCGCAGAGCCGTCTTTGCTCTTCTCCCTGTCGCGAGGCGCCAGCGCATGCTGTGGCGGCTCCTCAGTGTTCTGGTCCTTCTCTTTCTTGACGCGCGCATCCCACGGCAGGTCGCGATCGGGGCTGGTGCGCGGCGTCTGCTTCAACGGACTCATGGGAAGCGGGACGTTGGCCGGCATGAGCGCGTCGCCTTCGCCGGCGCTCTCATAGGGTGGACTGGTCTCGCGCGATCGCGACGGGCTGTCGGGCGACAGGTGGTGGTGGTGGTGGTGGTGGTGGTGCCGATACCAACCGCTGCCGGCTTTGCGCCAGGCGGGCGGCGACCACGGGCCGGCGCTGTCGGTCTCCTCGGTCTCCGACTCCTCTGAGCGGAAGCCTGAGTGGGTGGAGGGGATGCCGAAGAAAGGCGACCGGCTCGCGCGGTGATGCGCAGCGTCCAGGTCGTAGCAGTCGTCGACGGAGGCGGCCAGAGACGGACGGCTGGCTAAGAGGCCCTCGAGATCGTCTAGATCCTCGGTTTTGAGGGCAGTCATACTGCCGCGTTCGTAAAGCATGCGCGCTGGTTGTTGGGGAATGCGAATTGGGGAGCGTGGTCGGTGGTGCGGGCGGGAGGGGGTCGTCGCGGCGGACGGCGATGGGGTCGTCTGGGCGTTGCAGCGGAGCGGGTCCGGTGACTTGATGGCAGAGCGGCTGATTTAGCGTAGGGGCAGAGCTTGTCGCAATCCTGAATCGCAGTATTACGGACAGCCCTACGAGACATTGGACAACGGTGCCTGGGCAGTTGGTGGGCTGGGAGCCGGGTGGTGGTTGTGGAGGAGATGGCGCAGCGGCGCGAGAGGTGCGGTATCTCGGGCGATCGTCCGACCCCTCGCTCTCGCAGTGCTCAGCGGCAGTGACACGCATGGTCCATTCGCGCGAAAAGGCGTGGCTGGGGGTAGCGCGCGGCCGTTGCGCCGGCCAATGGACAGCGGGCAGGCCCTTGCTGCCTGCCAACGAACAACAGCGCTAGCGCGCCCGTTTGGGCCGTCTGCTGCCGATCCGCCCGCCTGGAGCTCGCTGCCCTCGCCGCCCACTCATCACTGAGGATGGCTGCGCGCGGGGAAGCTGCTGCGCGACGCCGCCGCCGTGCCGCCCTTCGCTCGCGGCCCTTGGCCCGGCGCGCTGCTGCTGCTGCCAGGAACGCCGACGCGCACGGCGGGCGGGCGGTCGCGCGTCGAGCGCGCATGGAGATTGCGGGTGCAGAGGGGCGGCGGACGCCAAGGTGCATCCCAAGGGGGGCACACAAACGCCGGACAAAGGCGCAATACCTAGCACGCGAACTGAGCGCGGAGGGGCCGCGGCAGGATAGCGGCAGGATAGCGGCAGGATAGCGCCCGCCTCAAGGCTCGCGCCGCCGCAGCGAGCGTGTCCGTGGTGGGAGCTTATCGCAAGGCTGACCTGCAGTGCGCGAGTCAGGCCGAGTCAGGCCGACGTCACGCGTGCTCCCCGGCCACGATGGCAGCTCGCGCACGGCGCCCGGCGGCTTGAACGGGCTTGAACGAGCCACGCTGGACGGCGAACGTGGGCGGCGCGACTCCAGGAACCCGTCACCCGTCTCGGGCGCAAGACATGTGTGCGCCCGCGCCGGGCGTGGCTCTCAGGTGCTTGACCGGTTACCGCGGCAGATTAGGTTCGTTATCTCGCGCGGGTAGCAATCGATAGGATGGGGCGCAAGGCCCGCCGGGGGATTTCCAGCCAGCTGCGGGCGGGCAGCTAACTTCCACCCAGCATCCCCCGTCCCCGCCCTCGATCTCCGTCGCATTCTCCCGCAAAGAAGGGTCTGACGCGCCGCATGCATCGACGCGCCGCCGTGGGATTGCCGTGAGCCCTTGCTGGTGGAACGGTGCCCTTGCCTTGGTGCGCGATTCATCCTCACGTTCCGGACGGTTTCATTTACAGGGTATGTGAGGGGCGCCGCCCTGCCATTGGCCTGGCGCGCCAGGTAAAGTGGGCGTTGTGGGCGTCTGGAATCGCACGGAATCGCCCCATTCCGCATCCGGGCTGCTGCCTCAGTGTGGCTCGCCGGGAGCCTCAACGGCAAGCCATCGCAAGGGCGACCACGGCCTAGAGACGCTGCCACACTGCCACACTGCCGCCGGAGACCGAGGCAGCCCCTATTCCACGGCCCGTAAAGCTGACCGACTTTTTGACGTTGAGTGCGAGCTATTCGCCCGTCCGAGTCCGTGCGACTCGGCGACGCTTCGTCCATCGTGGTGGATACGTCTCGTCGCTCGATAAGAGCCATGTGACTACGCTTTCGTGCATGTGAAGAAACTCAGCCTCAACTTACGTCAGGCTGGACATCGCTGTTCGAGGTTATCAGAGATCGATCACGTTGGCAGTTCGTTGCTTGTTCCGGCAATAGCCGATGGAGGTGTGCCATCTAGCGGCGATTCTCGGCATACTTCCCTCTGCGCACAATAGATAGCAAAGGATGTGATCCTCCAGGGGGCTATACCATTTCCACGTCGGTAGTTCAGGTAGACAGCGGCGTGTGGATGCGAGTCTCATGATCCACGTAGCTAGGGCGTAATATCTCTGGGAGACCGATGCAATATTCCAGCTCGATTTCTATGGAAACCCACTGTGCAACGTTCCAACTGAGTTGATTTACAGCACCAATGACAAGACATGCTCTATCAGAAGCTTCTGAGAGAAATACAGTTATTCAACGGCAGCCTTCAACACATTCTATATTTATTTACCTGTCCCAAATGTCTCACCCCCGGCCTCTAGCCACTCGTTCTCCTCCTTGGTCGTCTTCCTGCCCATGATCTCATTCCGATACGGGTACCTCCCAAACTTCTCAATAATGCTCGTGTGCCTCTCTCCAAAGTCCATGCTCTGCCGCACATACTCCTCCGCCTCCTTGTCTCCCCTCGCCTCCAACTCGGCCAGGAGCTCAGCCGCCAGTGCCTTGTACCTGCGATGGTCCTCGAGGAACTCGGAGTGCATCAGCGGCATGTAGAACCACATGCGGAAGACGGGCTTGGCGCGGAACTTGGGGTGCAGGTCGGCGCGCGGGCTGGTGGCCAGGACGTGCCGCAGCAGGCTGCGCGACAGGCGGTCGTAGTGGCCGTACACCAGCTTCTGGTCCGTGCGGAAGATGTTGCGCGACAGCTGGTCCAGCAGCAGTATCAGGCTCAGCGCCGCGTCTGCCGCGCCCTCCTCGCGCGCGCGGATGTCGCTGCTGCCGCCGCTGCCGCTGCCTTCCTTCTCCTGGGCGGCGTCCGTGAGCGCTGCGGCAAAGGGCGCCGCGATGGTCGGGGCGTGCGCCAGCTCGGCCGCGTAGCTGGAGTTTCCCGGGGCGTCGAGCGCGGGGAGGGGATACGCCTTCGGGCCTACGGAGACGAGGGCGTCGCGGAAGGCGCTGGTGCAGGTCTTGTCGAAGGCGGCCTTGTCCTCCGGGGGGCCCGCGCCGAACCATTTCTTGGCTATGTCGGACGGCGCGGTGGTCGCGGAGCTCGGGAGGTCGCCGAACCAGACGTGCTGGATGCGCGAGTAGGTCGCCGCGTTGAAGAGGCGCTTGTTCAGCGTGGAGATGGCCGGGGATGACATGGCTGCGATGATGACGACGAAAGCGGCGAAGGCGATGGCGACGACGGCCTGGACGTTTTTGGCCTTTTGACGGATTTCTCTCTTTGCCTTGCGGGAGGTTCTTTTGGTCGCCTGCCTTGGACTGCCCGGCGCTCCCGGCTCTTTCACGTCCATTGACGTCTCGCGGAAGTATTGGGATGGGAGCTGAGGTCCAGCAGGTGCCGGAAGAAGTATGGAGCCGTTTAGGCGTGTTCGGGTTCGGGCGTGAGCTTGGGGCCGAAGGTGAGTAAGCATAGGCGGCCGGCCCGAGCCAAGCGGCAAGCCGTTGAGCCCATCAACTCCCGACATGGCAATGTAAGCTGATGCAATGAAAAGGGCTCGATGGATTGTCAGCTACAAAAATGCAAGGAAATTCCTACGGCCGGTGCCTTGGAGGACTCCACTTCACAGGCTCTTCCAGTCCGGATTCGCCAGCTCCCACGCGTAAGCAACACGGTAAACCGTTTCCTCGGCCCACCACTTCCCCACAATCTGCAGACCGACCGGCAATTTGGTTCCAGTTCCTGCAAGAGGTCCTTCCTGGATCTCAAGCATGCCAATCGGCATCGTCAGTGCTGGATGACCCGTCTGGTTGAATTGGCAAGTGTTGCGAGTCAGCCCAACCTGCTTTGCCATCTGCTCGAGCGGGCCGGCGTCGGAAGCACAGTGGCTCGTCGCGATGTACGGCAGCGTCGGGGTGATGAGAACGTCATACTCCTTGAGCGCGGCGTCGTAAGCATCGCGAAGCATGCGTGACAAGTTGGTCGCCTTGCCAAGCAGCTGCGGGAACGCCTTGGTCGCATAGGCGCCATTCAAGTAGTTGTTCTTCAACGAGACGTAGGCGTTGTCCCAGTTCTCCTGCGTCAATGGCCACATCATGCTATGCAAGTCCATCATCTGGTGACCACGGCGACCGAAAGGCCCAGTGCTCTTGCCGAGAAAGCCGCCAACTTTGCTGATGCCGGTCCAGATTGCCGGGCCCTTTTTGTGCAATGGAATGGACACTTCTGAGACAGTCGCACCTAACTGCACGAAAGACCCGGCAGCTTGGACGAAGGTGGATTTCACACGTGGGTCCAAGACCGCGCCGGTCAAAGATTCGGAGATGATGCCGACTCTAATACCACTAAGGTCCTTGGGCGTCTCGCAGCTGGAGAGTATCGCCGAATACTTGGGTATTTTTTCAGGTGTGGGAGCAGCAAAACTCCGGTCATCGACGTTGTCACTTCCGGCAATGACTTGGAGTAAGAGTGCGTTCTCCCACACCGTTCTCGTCATCGGACCCAAGTGGTCGTTTGTGGGTTCATTGCTGCCGCATGCTGGCAGGAGTTAGCAAGATCTTGTTAACTCCTTGTCCTTCTCACCTGTGTAAGGAACCAGTCCAAACGTAGGCTTCAGGCCTACAATCCCACAGTTACAGGCAGGAACCCTGACGCTTCCACCTTGATCTGCCCCAATGGACATGTCGACTTCTCCAAGTGCCACAAGGACGCCGCTTCCACTCGAGCTTCCGCCGCTGCTGTAACCTTTTGCGAATGGGTTCTCGACTGGGCCTGTGGCAGCTGAGTGGGATGTCGTACTGTGACACATGTTCTCGCAAACGGCTTTGCCAACCACCTCGGCCATCGCTTCGAGAACCCGTGTAACCACAGTAGCATCTGTGTTCTGTTTCACGTCAACTGTCTGCGCTGAGGTTTTGGGAGAGTACAAATACCGGAACATAGCCCTTGACAAAATCCGTGCCCATGAGCATGGGGACATCTTTTACAGAGATGTTGTCCTTGAGCACCACCGTCTTGCCTTCCAGCAGCATCGAGTCCTTTATGCCTCTACTTTTATCTTTAATGCTGCACTTCCAGGCCCAAGCTCCGTGTGTGTTGTCGCCAACATTTGGGAAATGAACATTCTCCCGTGGAAATCGTTCCAGATCGACTTGGGGAGCATAGTCTACGCAACTAATTAGCTTCGCGGCTATCGATAACACGAAGATATAAGGAACACAGCGAAGAGAATACAAAGAGGATCAACGCTCCGGTAAGCAGCGACTGGAAAGATACCATGAGCCCAGTGTAAGGTGTAAAGTCTCACCAGGCATTCCCATCAAGCCCACTGCAGAGTCGTGAAAGATTCCAAGGAGCCTTCGGTAGGCTTCCTTCTCTCCTTCATCGAGACTGAACCCCAAATCAGTGCAGACATCGTCTACGACATTGGCTGTCACAGGGTTGCCTGCTCTTGGGTGGAGCGAAAAGACCGACATATCGGACTTCTTTTAGAGCTTGAGCATCAAGACCATTTCCTCCATCTCGGTGGCTCACGAAGCGTAGTTTAACCAACTCTGCTGCCTAAGATTGACCATCAGCCTTGGCCTTGAATGCAAGGCGACATCACATCAAGTGGGATACTGGACATGATCCAAGTCTCTGCGCCGCACCGATGTAAGCGCTAGCACCGGCTGTTTACTTATCCGAGGCGCAGGAGTGGGAGGCTGAGGGGTAAACAGGTCGGGGACGTCATCATCCGCGAGTCATGTGGTCGAGTGTGGGGTTGCAGGGTAGGTATCTATCCGCTTTCCCCATTCATGCGCCACGAATCGCTGATCCTGTATTACAATGCGAGCCAAGGCATGTTGCTGTGCGCCGGCTTTCCCACGACGATTGTTTTGGTGTGGATGAATACAGAAAAGCCTTGCGACTTGGCTTGCAACCTCGCAGGCAACGGTTCAAGACGACAATATGACTAATTGAAAAAGCTGATTGGTGCACAGGAAAATGGCGAAGAATCGCACGATGCCAAGTGGCTGAATAGTGCTAAAATAGCGCTTTCCTTCATGTTAGACTACGAAGAGGAGGTCAGTGGAATACCTGTGGGAGAAGGGATTCAGTAGTGGACGCAAAGCCGGCAGCTGATATTCAAACGCCGAGCTGGGTTTTGAACACGGTATCTGTGCACGTTGGTGAACTGGTAGGTTAATGAAGAGATTCAGCTGTGAGCATGACCGTCGTGGTCGCTGCTGCAATGGATGAATGTGCTTATGACTCGGTCTATGTGGGGCGCTGGCGAGTTCGTTGAGTGGTATACAGAAGACTCCAAGCTTTTGCTAAGCTTGGGTCAGGGACGGCCAGGAATTCGCGGCCCACAAGTGCTCCCAGCTAGCTTAACTGCTGGGACTTCAGCTTGGTACAAGAGATATATCGAAGATACATGCAGCAAGCGTGGGCGTATACTGGTACAGAGGCACTCGGAACACGCCTTCGATCCTTCTGGTTGAGGTCAAGGAAGCGGGGACGTCGTTGTTGTGAGCATCCGGAGAAGCGTGGGGGTCTCCTGGTGGTCCGGATACAATGGCTACGACTGCAACAACGGCAAGTACCACATGATGCCGGGCTTTATGTCGTCAGCGGGACGGGCATGTGAGTTGTAGGTCCAGAGCACGTTCGACATGGTGTGCCGAGAGCGTGGGAAGATGTCAAGATGCACGGCAGGATTGTCGGAAAAGCGGGCAGAACCGAAGCTCGGCGGAAGAGGGTGGAAAAAAGGAGGGCGTCTGGATTGCGACGAACAGGCAGATGGTGGAGCAGTGCCATAGACAGTAATCCGTAGACGCCAGGAAGTGCGAAGGGCGGGAGTAGCGGTATGATAGACCGTATGTTTGCTCCACGAGAGGCAAGCCAGAAGCTGAACCGTGACTGGCGTGAGGACGTGCTTGCGGCAAGGGCATTGACTCATCGCTGCCGTGACGCGCGACAGGCCGCAGGAGGGCGACGGTGCAGAGAAGCGCAGCAGCTCTGCAGCGGCAATTGGCGGGGGCTCCGATGTTCGGCAGCAGCAGACGGTCCGGCCGCGTGTGGTGTTGGGAGTGGGCGGCGGGAAGGACCAGGGAGGACCGGGGAACCAAGGCGGCAAGAGGGCACGCGATGCGCTAGGCTGGAACGGGGGCTGGCGCGCAAACGACGACGAGCCCACCTGCCTCGCCCGATTTCCCGCAGACGCTGCCTCTGCTCCACTTCCCGCGTCCAATGCCACACACCGACATGGATGTTATCGCTGCAGAATGCTTCGCGCCCTCCACTGCCGTCGCCCCTGTGGCAAACCGGCTCGACATCTCGAGCCCCTTCCTCCACCACCGCGTGCTTTTGCTGCTGCCTGAGGACATCTTTCCACGCCAGCTCGGCCGGCGTAGAGGCGTCGGCTTTAAGCAACACCCACCGGCCCAAAACATCGCGGGCCCGGTAGTATGCGACTGAATGCTTACGAGGGCGATCAGTGCCGTGCGCTAGCCGCTTCCGCCTTTGACCGGTACCGGTCTCTTCCCCCGGCAGCTCATATCCGATTCAGCAGTTTCTGTCTTAATAATAATGTGACGCCTCTCTCACACTCTGCCTTTTCCTGAAATTTTTTGCAATCAAGCCGCTGTCATTCACCCGTCCCTGAGCCGTGCCAAGAGTCTCATGTCTCTCGGAACGCCTCTCTTCGTTCATCTGTCGTCCGCCTCATAGTCACCACCCGCCAACCCCCTTACTCCCTCCCCCGCTCGTGTCAATGACGGCGCGCCAGAAACAGAGAGATGTCGAGGCCGGCCTTCGTGACCAGACCAACCTTCTGCCCAAGCGCGAACTGATCATTTTGTTCTCCACGCTTGCTGCCAGCTTGTTGGTTTGCTTCATCGATCAAAATGGCATCGGCGTGCTTCTTCCCTCCATTGCCCAGGACATCGATGCCGAGAACACCATCAGCTGGGCTGGAACGTCCAACCTGATCGCCAACACCGTCTTTCAGGTGCTCTACGGTCGTCTGTCCGACCTCTTTGGCCGCAAACTGGTCTATGTCTCTGCTCTGGCCTTGCTGTGTATCAGTGACCTGCTATGCGGCTTCGCGGTAAACTCGACCATGCTCTACGTCTTCCGTGGATTGGCTGGTGTGGCTGGCGGCGGCATCACAAGGTAGCTTCTACCAATCTCAACTCCTGCAGCAATTGCTGACGCCTTCAGTTTGTCCATGATGATCGTGAGTGATGTTGTTACTCTCGAAGACCGTGGCAAGTACCAAGGTATCCTCGGAGCCATGGTTGGCACTGGTAATCTCGTCGGCCCGCTCATCGGTGCTGCCTTTGCGCAGCACGCTACCTGGCGTGCGCTGTTCTGGTTCATCTCTCCCGTCGCCGCTACCTGCTGCGTCATCAATTGGTTCATGGTCCCCGCCACCGTCCCTAGCAAGGACTTCAAAGGAAATGTCAGCAAAATTGACTTTTACGGTGTCTTTACTGGATCCCTGGCCACCATCTTGATCCTCATCCCCATTTCCGGAGGCGGCTCCTACTTTGAGTGGGACTCGCCTATGGTCATAGCGATGCTCACGGTTGGCGGTGTGCTTGCTGTGTCGTTCATCCTGGTCGAATGGAAGGTTGCCCCGCTTCCTATGATGCCGTGTAAGCTCCATCCCCCAAACCCCTCAACAGTTCCAAGTAAGCTGATTGAAGCACAGTGAGCTTGTTCAAGAACCTCCCAGTCGCCGTACTGATCATCCAAAACTTCTTCTACGGCGTCACCTACTATGCCTACCTTTACTATCTCCCCATCTACTATCAAAATGTTCGCAACTGGAGCCCGCTCATCAGCGCGTGCTTGACGATCCCTATCGTCTTCTTCCAGTCCTTCGCCTCCATTCTATCCGGCCTGTACATCTCGCATTACAAGCGCTACGGCGAGGTCATTTGGGCCGGCTTCATCATCTGGACGATCGGCGCCTCGCTGACGACGCTCTTCTCGCGCACGATTCACGTCGCAGCCATCGTCATCATCAGCTGCCTCAACGGGATCGGCGTCGGACTGGTCTTCCAACCAACCCTTGTAGCCATGCAGGCGCACGCCACCAAGTCGCAGCGCGCTGTCGTCATCTCGAACCGGAACTTCCTTCGTTCGCTCGGCGGTTCTTTTGGGCTGGCAATCTCGGCCGCCGTGCTGCAGAACACGCTGAAGCACAACCTACCTGCGGGCCACACCGACCTTGCCCGCTCCACCTACGCCACCCCGGACTACAGCGTTTACGACGCCGCCGACAGCGACGCCATCCACGACGCCTACGCCAAGGCCAGCCGCGCCGTCTTCATCACCCTCGCCCCCTTCATCGCACTCTGCCTGCTCGGCTGCTTCCTCGTCAAGGACCGCGGCCTCACCCGCCCGGACGAGGCCGGCGGCCAGCAGCAGACGTCGGCCGACTCGCAGGTGCAGTCCCAGCACGTCAAGTCGCAGGATGCGGACAAGGAGGACGAGAAGGACTGCGCGAGCTTCATGGCCGTGCCCGCGCCGGTGGAGGACGAGATCGAGGAGAAGGAGAAGGAGAAGGAGAAGGACGACGACGACGACGAAGATGCTGGAGAGAAGACGAAGAAGCAAAACGAACGCAAGCTCGAAGACAAGGAGGTGGAAATTTGAATGAAGGGGGAGGTGATGACTTGAAATGAGAGATGCAACTGAAATGGAATGAATGGTTTGAAACATTGAGCTTGGAAAGAGTGGAGGTGAAAACGTGTATGAGATGATATGGTTTGGATTAATGACGAGAAGATATAATGGACGTAATGTTTGCTCAAGACTAGATTGATAAATACACTAATGATACGGAGTTCGCTTGGGTGAAAATTACGTTTCCGTCATCATAACTGCTCCCTGTCGCACTGACTGCAGTGGTTTGAGCCTGTACCCATCATTTTCGAAATATCATGGTAATTTCAGATAAATTGCTTATGCTGCAAAGCAGCTTACTAGATCCATGGCGTGGCAATGGCACCGCTACTTCCCTTCGGCCTTTTTAATCAAGCCCTCTTCCAACCCAAGGGGCTCCTTCGTATCGTCCTTTCTATTAAGTGCCCAGACGACGTCTCCCTTCAGATAAACTACAGCACCGCCCTTACCAGATGCGCTCGCCGTGATTCTGAACAGCGGCAAGCCCGTCGTCTTGTCTGCCTCACGGAGCGGGATCATCAAGAGGTCGTTCTCACCGCACCAGTCCTCGACGACATCCTTGAAGGTAGTCGCATCTTCCTCGGCAGCTCTGCTGGCCGTCGATGCCGCGAAGTTGGGACGCTTCTCTTCTTCTTCTTCTTCTTCGACGATACCCGACGGCACGTCGGGGAGCGGCAGTGCGTTCTTTGCATCGTCGCCCAAGTCAAGGGCGGTGTTCATCATCTCCAAACCTTGCTCCCAGGCCTGCGCGACGGCCGGCACTGCGTTGACAGTATCGGGGAACTGCTCTTTCCACCAGCTGAACCACTGTCCGACTTCTTCGTAGTCGGGGTCCGATGTAAGCCACAGGTGTAGGACGTTGTGCCACTTCGGGAAGAATTCTGCTAACATGAGCTGGCCCATGGTGCTGGGTTTGAAGAAAGCAGCCCAGGCAAGGACGTGCTCAAGTGGTGACAGGTCTTGGTCAGAAGGATCGACTGTGAAGTTTGTCGACAAATGCATGGCTAGACGCGGTAGAAGGTAACGGACAAGTGTGTGCTCCAGGTTGGGAAGTACTTCCCGCCAGCTGTCCAGGCCAGGCATGACACCGCGAGACAAGTCCCAGGATCTGAACGCGGAGCCGAACTTGTGACGCACATCCGTCAGCAGGCCAGTGGAGGACTTGGGATTAGTATGCTCATCAGCAAGATATTGTAACCATGGAAATAGCCAGATGTGGGGAAGAGGCTTGGTGTGCTTTTTCCTGAGAGAGCTTCTGGGGTTCCAATCGTGCAGCGTGTTCTTGAGCTTTTGCACGACAAGATTGTTGAGGAGGCTGTAGCGGATGAAGGGGGGCAGTATGTCCTTCCAGGCTTCGACGAGCGCAATGAGCGGGGTTGGAGAAAAGGGGTCCCACACGTTGGTGATAGTCGTCCGTACTCGGGGTAGCCAGAGCGAGTAGATGAGCGACTCGTACGGGGTGGTCGACTTGTGTCTTCTGTAGCCATAGAGGTCATCATGTCCGCTGTGAAGCACGAGATCATCCTTACCGATGCCCAGAATTGTGCGCAGGCGGTGGATGTATGGTACGAGATGCATGGGCTGCTCCAATGGCTCCCAGTCAAGCATTTCCTGCTTGAACAGCGGGGCAATGGCGGCCACAGCGGCCTCTTGCAGACCAAACTGCATGAGCTCATTGCGGAACTCGAACTGCAGCGTCTCGAGCTCGGCAACGACCTGTTCCCAGCGGGCGGATGCGTCGTCAGCAGTGCTGGGCCTGCTCAACTCCAGGCGGCTGAGTCTTTCGACCACGTCCGTGACCCCCTGCAATTTGCGGCTAGCTTGCTCCTGCTCGTCGATCTCCCGCTGGAGCTGTTCCTCTTCTATGTCGATGAACTGCTTGCGCTCCGTCAATTCGGTCCACGAGTTCGCGAAAGCCTCGAGCTCGCGGCGAGCACGCGTGGCGATTTTCTCAGCTTCGGTAGCTGCCGACGGAGTTCCACCCAAAGGCGTCATCAGCCCCGCGGTAGACGTAAGCAGCTTCGTTTCCTTGCCGGTGGCATCGATAAGGTTCTTCAGCACATTCGGCACCTCGAGGCCTTCGGCGGCAGCCTCGATGTCGGCAACGGTCTTGTACTTCGTCTTCGGGCGGGTGAAGCCCGAGGGCGTGCTGGCTCCGCTGGTGCCACTTTCGGCGGCCTTCCTGCGCTCGGCTTTCCTGCGCTGACGCGCCTTGCGCTCCTCCTCGGACGAGTCCTCATACTCCTCACCGCGACGCTCGGCAGCACGGCGCGCTTCTTGCTTCGCCTGCTCGGTTTTCTCCTTCACGGCACCGACACCAGCGCCCTGGGGCCGCAGCTTGACCTCGATGGGGTTGAGGATGCCCTCGCCGGTCTTTCCCAGACCGTGGCCCTCCTTGTAGCCCATCTTGGCCATCATGCGCTGGGCAAAGGACATCTTGGGCTTGCCGGCAGCCTGGCCACCGTCGGCGGCCGTCTTCGGATTCTTGCGGGCGCCGGCATCGTCGCTGTCGAACTTGCGCTTGAAGGAGGGGCGGTCCATGGGGCGGCGGGGGCGAGGGGCGGACGCGCGGTCAGCGCAGGGTGAGCAAAGGGACAGAGGGCGTCGCGTTGGGATGCGGCGGGTGGTGGTGCAGGGTCGTTTTCGGTAGATTGATACGAAGGCTGACGCGGGCCTGGCAACGACAGGCACGAGCACGGAGGGCAAAAAGCACGGCTTGGCGCGTCGCTGGCAGGGGCGGGCTAAGCTGCAGCCAAATGGGGCCGCGCCGTCCACCCGTCGATCCTGGTTATTTTTGGCCTATCGCGCGTGCCCGCCGCCTGCGCGCGGCGCCCTTTCGGTGGCTCCCTGCTGCAGTCTCACGACTCCGCGATATAGCCTCCCCCGTCCCTCGCCGCCGCGCCCTCTGCCCGTCCTGCTGTGTCCCTCAAGTCGACGCCCCCCGCTGCACCCCGCCCGCCGCCGCGAAGGCGTGTCTCTCGTTCAAGCGCCATGGCCACCAGACCACGGGTGCGCACCGCCTCCGCTGAGGGCTCGCTCCAGCTTTCCCAGCCCACGCCCGATCTGCACTCCCCCACCGACGGCTTCGCGACCCATGTCGAGCGCCTCGAGAAGCACGCCGAACGCATGAGCTCCAGCGGCTCGGACATCGGCGAGGAAATTCGCAAGCTGCAGCTGGAGGAGAAGGAGCAGAGCCGCCGCTCGTCTCTGGCTTCGCACACCCATGCAGACCCCGACAACGCGAAACCCGTGCCCGCCGGCAGGTCGCGAAACACGTCAATAAGCTCCTACAACAACTCGATTGTCGATGTCAACACCCAGGCCCGCTGGGGCGGCTATTCGCCCACCGCCTACATAACCTCTCCGAAGGGGTCAATCCGCTCTGGCTCGTGGTCCCACCGCTCCGGCGTGCAGCGCCAGCAATCCGTGTCCCAGACACAGGGCTCGCTGGGTGAGTTCCCTGAGAACATCGACGAAGCCGACACTGCCACCGTCTACAACGAGCCGCAGCCCGCAACCGCCGACTTCGCCCAGCTCCACGCCCGCAACGCCTCCCAATTCAGTCTCGAGTACGATAAGATTGTGGCAGACATAGAGAATGAGCTGGCCACCGTGCCGAGTCAGGAGTCGGCTCCCGCTGCCGGTGCCTACGGACGCGTGGCCCACGGCATGCTGGACCCTGACGAGCTCCCTGACCGGCCTGCTACCGCCGACACGTATCAGCAAGCTCAGACGGCCTTCCATGACTTTGATGGCGTGCACTGCACCACTGGCATGACGGGCCTGCGAGAGATATCAGAGGGTAGTGAGCACGCCATGTTGCACTCCATCCCACACGACTATCGGGCGGGAATTCCTCCGCCTGACGACGGCATGGTTTACTATCCTGCACCTGTCCCGAAGATGTTGAACTTGCCAAAGCGACTCTCCCAGCTCCCTTCGAACGATTTGCGGAACAAGCGGCGGAGTCAAGTCCTGGGAGGTATGGTTGCTGAAGCCAGGAACTCGGCGTTATGGCTGGGCGGCAAGCCCGACAAGCCTGATAACCGCAAGAGTGGAGCCTTCCGCCATAGTGCTCACATGGATAAGCTTCCGCCCCAGCTCCGCGCCAGCGCGTACTTTGATCAGCCAAACGTGCCGCACGATATTGAGATCAAGGGCGAGTCTGCCCGGGCGACCCTTGATGATATCCTGGATGCATCAACCAGTGCCCCTGTCAGTGCTTTCACCGACCACCCCGTTGCTGGGCCAGTTGGAAAGGCCGCCGTCTATGGCAAGGAGAATAAGCGGAAGAGCATGTTGGAAAAGCGGAAAAGCGCATCATCTTTGCTTGATTTGGACAAGAGGAAGAGCTCAACGACCCTGTTGGACGACGATGAGAAAGCCGAGAAGGAGCCCAAGAAGGAGAAGAGGAAGTCGTCCTTTGGGTTTTTGTTGGGGCGTCGCTCAAGCACAGATGAGGTGTCGAAGCAGCTCAAGAAGAAGAGTAGCAGCGGTAAGATGAACAAGCTGCAAAAGCGAAACAGTCAGATGAGTCTATCGAATGCACTGGATCAGGGTGAAGCCGCCGGGCAGCAAAAGCGACGAGGATCTACCTCCAGCCAGGGATCTCATGTCAACGAATCCACAGCACTTCATCCGGACGAGCATCATGGCGACGCCTATAACGGCATGGAGACGTTATCGCGTGACGGCAGCGACCATTACGATGACGAGGGACAGTTCGATGATGAGGAGGGCTTCATCGGAGCGCCCACGACGCTCCTTGCCGAGTTGCAAATGCGCAAGGCTCAACAGCGTGAGCGAAGCCGTACGGCGGCGACTGCATTTCCAAACGGTATGCATAGCACTCTCCTTCAACTAGATGCTGTTGCGGAAATCGAGAAGAGAAAACGCCAAAACCAACGTGTCAACCTTGCCTGGGAAGCCCCCAACCAGGAAGAAGAAGACGACGAGGTGCCGCTAGCCATGCTATATCCCAATCAGAATGGCCTTGCCAGCAAGGCTGGTCAGGGAGCGGGCGGTCGTGCTGACGACTGGGACCGTCCCCTTGGCTTGCTTGAGAAGAAGGAACTAGAGGACAGCGAACCTCTCAGCAGGCGCAGGAACCGTCTGCGCGGACTCCATCCGGATACACCCCACGCTCCTGATGGCCAACGCATGACGATGCTCAGTGCCCACTCGCAAAGTCAACGTAACAGCAATGATCCCACTCCAGAACCTCCGCAAGTGAACCAGGAGTCGGAGGACGAGGAAGAGCCTTTGGCAGCGAGACGGGAGCGCCTCAAGCGTAAAGAAGCCTTGAACTCGGCGCTCGGCGACATGAACTCGCGCCCCTTTAGCGGAGATTTCGCGAGTGAGATGATGAGCCAGTTCGATGGCCTCAAAGACGGGGGAGAGAAGAGTGGAGCCAAGGACGCGTCCCCGAAGACGCCTGGACTTGCCAACGAGGAAGAAGAGACGCTGGGACAACGTCGCGCCCGTCTGCAAGCCGAGGCTTTGGCCCGTGGCAGCACGACGCCTTCGGGCCTATCCCCAGGAAACCCGTTGCGCCCGCCGCTCAAAGCATCTCGCAGCCTGGCGGACATTCTTTCGGCTCATCCTGCTGGCAACCAGGCTGATAAGATTAGCAACGACGCATTGCTCTCCAGCCTTCCGCAAGGCAGTCTGTTACAAAAGAGCGAGCACAAGACTGCCACTCGCCAGGCTCATATCCGTGAAGGCAACAAGCGGAGCACGAGCTATGGAATGGTAAAGCCCCTTCTAGAGGTAGGCCCTCCAAGTGATGGCCGTACCAAGAGCATGGTCCTGGATGGTTCGAGCGGAGAGCGTGGTCTTCTCGGTAAAGACTACGGCACTGGACTGGCAGCTGGGCCGAGGAAGAGCGGCGTCCGTTCACTCGACAAGCGGGCCAGCATGATGGCCCTCGGTGCTAACAACATGAACATGAGCACCGGAAATCTGGGCATGAGCATGCCGGCAGTGAACCAAAGCGGCCTCCTCAACCCGCAAGCTGGTATGATGGGCATGGGCATGCCGATGCAGCAACAGCCCATGATGATGGGTATGGGCATGCCAATGCAGTCACCCATGCCAATGCCCATGAATATGAACATGGGGATGGGCATGAACATGAACATGGGAATGGGCATGAACATGGGCATGGGAGGTGCGGGCATGACTGGCTATCCCGGTGGGCAGATGGTGATGGGACAGCCGTACGGGATGCAGCCTATGGGCGGCATGCAGATGGGGATGCCGGCAGGAATGGGCATGGGCATGGGCATGGGTGTTGGCAACCAGATGCAAATGGACCCTGCTATGTTGGATTCGGGCCGCAGGGCGGCTATCGACAGATGGAGACAAGACATCTCCTCGTAAGTCAGCGCGGCTGGTGGGAGGTGGTTTACGCGAGTGTGAGCGTCTGGGAACGAGTGCTATGGATAGTGTGTATGATTGGATGGAGCTGAAGTTGGCCCAGTCGGGCATTGCAGCTGAAGTGTGGTCTCTAACCTTCTCTTGTCGTTTCCTTTGTCGTCTTCCTCCTTTTCTTTGAGCCTTCTACTACTACTACTACTTCTCCTTCCTCTTCCTCTTCTTCGCTGCGAGCATTTTTGCATACTTTTCAGACATATTTACAGATTTGTAATTTGGTACCAAGCTCTCCTATATCTGAGAGCGAGATGGCGGCTGGGTCAGGTGTCATGAGCGGCAACAGGCAACAAGGGACAGGCTTATCAAAAGTCCGGGATGCTTGCAAGGCGCAGGGTTAGTTGGGCATCAGGCAAAAGACCGGGGTTGGGATTTGGAAAGCATAGGCTATCGAATACCGGCATGTTTCTTTCCCATCAGGCATTCACATCTAATCTCACGGTGCTCTTTGGACTATATTCAATACATGTGTACCTGCCTGTTCCGACGTGTCTTGGACCGTCTGGGGTCCCTGGACGGAGTTTCCTCGGCTCGGCGTTCGCTCTTTCTCATCAACACCACTGCCTGTGCTGCCTGCTGGCCGTCCTTTGATCAGTCTAAAAATCACACCAACCAACCATGGCATACGTCCCACCCGCTCTTCGGCGCAAGAAGCAAGAAGCCGGGGCCGACTGTGGCACCAGCGACGTTGGCAACAAGCCTGCCTCTGTCGCCGAAAACATGGAGGCCCCGACGGAGCGGCTCCCTCGCGCTGACGATGTGCACGAATACTATTGGCCTCCGGTGGAGCTCGACGCCGGCGAAGGCATGCGTTCGACCGTTCACAGCACCCTCAACTCCTCCACCTCTGAGCCGGACAAGTTGAAGTACATCATGCTTTTCCAGGAAGCCAACCCCCGCTGGGAGACGGACCACCTCATCTATATGTCAAGACGAACCTGCATTACCTCCCCGGAAGCGAGAAGTTTGCCAAGGAAAGGCCGCGTGTCGGTCGTCACGGGGCCGCAAGGAAGCTCAGCGATCAGACTGACGGCCACTCCAGCGAGGATTCAGTTGAGCCTGCTCCGCCGCTGTCGTCTGACGAGCCCTATAGCCCCACTCACACGCCGGATCTGACTGACTATCTGCTGGAACCTATCGCCATCTTCGAGCAGGCCGGCAGCCGGAACGGTGGCTTCCGCTTCATCGGCTACCATAAGATCATCCGCTTGCAGTTTCTCGAGCCCAGAAGCGCCGATCTGATGCGCATGTTGGAGCAGAAGTTCAGCGTCACCAACAAGTTTGGTCGCGTGTCCCAACAGCACCGTAGCCCCGCGTCTTGGAAGGCAAGTCTCGAGCATAGATGGGCAGTCATGAAGCTGGAGAAGCACGAGGCGGCGGACAAGAGCTTGCCTGCCCCGGATGTCAAGGTAAATGACGAGAGGGAGAGAGGAAACAAGCAAAAGAAGCATGCCTCACAGAAGAGCGTCAACGAGTTGCTGAAGGAGATGAGACTGGGCAAGTCGGAGACTGAAGCCGCAGCCGAGGAACCGCAACTGCTGGCTTCAGAGTGAAGACGAAGCTAGCAAAAGTTTCTTCTCTATCGGGCGGCTGGCTTGAGTGACCTCCTCGACGAGAGTGAGGTATTCTTCATATTCAGTACGGACTCGGACTGCTTTCGAGGGAAATGTGCGGCTTCTACTGAGTTGAAAGCGGCCACAGACCGGAGCATATCTAATTGACGGCCGCCCAACATGACCTAGATTGCTTGCAACAACAAATTTAGACTACGACGGCCACCAGATTTCAGTCTCTACTAGTCATGTTATACCTCTCTGAAATGAGAAATACGAGGGTCGACTCTGCATGATTTGCTACTCTTACGATGGAGGCAACTCTGAATAATGATTCAATTCCAGTCTCTGGGAATCATGCTTGAGAGAAAACTCTATCATGCGTGGGACGAAACAAAGGGTTCCTGATTTTTCAATTTTTCATCAATGTCGTCAAGATCAAACAAAACCTTAGAAAGTTGTCTTATCCGCAACCTTGTGCGTGACGGCCCATTCCCGGACCTTGTTCCAGTTCCTGCACACGTGCTGCGTCTCATAATCAGGCTCAAGCTTCCCGTCATCTCCCGGCTGCTCTTGGTACAAGATGACGCCGACGTCGGCTTCACACATGACCTTCATGCGGAGGGCCTCTATGCAATGATCTATCGTTTTCAGTTAGCCGGATTCCAGCATTCCAACCCAAGGGGAGAAGAATCAGCCACTCACCCAGATGCCCGGTCAACTTATCTTCCGGCACGGCCAGGTCGGCGTGATCCAGCGGCTCGTAGTGATCCCTGTGCACGAACTTGCGGATGAGGTTTAGGCAGTGCAGCTGGTGTACGACGGCCAGCTCCATGCGCCAGCCACTCGCACCCGACTTTGCGTCCGTCACGCGCAACCGGTCGAGCGGCTTGTTGAGCTCCGCCATGTCGGTTTCGTCGACCATCTGATCGCCCACTGGGTTTCACTTCGTCAGCCTCGTTCTCGGCCGACATGTACATACGACGAATACTCACTGTGCATCGTCACATGCTCCCAGGCCTTGTCGGCCTCCGGGCCTGCGCCCACGTAGGGCGTCTTGGCGCCTTTGGTGTTGTTAAAGGTCACAGTCTCGTACTCGACTGCGCTCAGCGCGGGCGCTGTGGCGATGAATCGAAACGATTAGCAAACAAGAACCCCCGTTTGCCCAATCTCCTGCAGCTGGTCCGGAAATATTCACTCACAGTACGCGGAGAACTGTTGCACGAAGGCGCCAACCGACGGCCCCATGGTTGCGCCCAGGATGAAGAACATGAACGACATCAGGAAGAGGCCGGCGTGCAGAGCCCACAGCCACACCGGGCCGAACCTCGCGCGCTGCCGCCGCCGCCGCCTGCCGCTGCCGTCGCCACTTTCGCGCAGATCGTCATCATCAACATCATCGTCCTCGCTCAGATCGACCTGCTCCAGTAATGTCGAGTCCGTGTCCTCGGACAGCCGCGCGTGCACCATCGTGAGGCCCTGCTTCTCCTCGGCATAGCCACGCCGCTCTTGATCGTCTGAGCTGACTATGTGGGAGTACCTCGCCCTCGATGCGTCATTGGTGGTGTTTTGCAGCCTGTCCATGATGAAGGAAGGAGAGAAAAAAAAAGTTCGCGCTTGATGTTTTGTGATGTCGTGCTTATGCCTGAGGTATTGGCAATGGGCTTGGAATACGGAAGTCTGGAGGTCCGGCGGCGAAGGATGGGAGATGCGAGTGTGCTGAGAGTGGATGCGCAGGGTTGGGGGGGTTTGAGCCAAGACGGGCGGGGCTTATGCAGATATACATATCACTTCCCCGTTGCTCCTTGCAAGACGGGTCGGCGCTGATTCGTTAACCTCGCTTGTCAGAGCTAGGGTCCTTCGATTCTGGGCCGCTGGTGGAACGCCGATCTGCAGTTCTGGGGCAGCGTTTGCTGCCTGCGCAGTTTGACCGTAGCTGTGTGGTTGCTCAGAGGGTTTCAGCGCGCGAGGGGACTGGTACGAAGAGGAGAGCTCCAGACGAGTGACGGCCGTGGTGGTCTGGGCCGGCGGAGAAAACTTGGTGTTGTGAGACTGAACGCAGACAGTTCTGAAACAGGTGGAGTTGGTGATGGACAGGGGCTTGATACAGGGGTTGCGCTGCACCGGGGCCGAAGAGCCCCATGAGCTTATTCGCGCAGTCGCTTGGATCCGCACGTTAATCTGAATTGCTTAATGGAGTAGGTTGTAGGGCTGCAGGGCGCAGTTGCCAGGAAAAGAAAAAAGTCGCATCAGTGGCCCGATTGCGGTGTATTTGAGTGCTGACTTGACATAGCCTTCAAAGTTGACCGACTTCTTGGTGCTGAGGTCGAACAACACGATGAATTTGCAAGCTCGTATATCGGCCAGCGCTTAGAATCATTGAAAGGGGCGCACTCTGAGACATCGGCAGGCGTCCGGTCGATCTGCAGATAGGGTTGGTTGCTCGCTTGGCTTCCGCAGCCACCCCGCGGGACCTGTGTGATCTGCACGGAATACCGAGACCCGAGTGATACCTTATGCATCACATCTCTTGCCATATATGGACGCGCCTTCCGCGCTCTGGTGCGCTTGCGGGGTCAGAAAACTGGAACCCTGCCCTCTTGGCTACCGTCCGCTGTTCGGAGCCCACAGACCCCTCGACCCGTAGTGCACGAAGTGGCGTTAACGAAGTGTGTTCCTTACTGTGATTGATTGGATCGCCCGCCGTTGTTGCGCTAATCGCCCTCACGTCCACAGCCGCAAGGCCTATCGTGATTACTGCAGGACCAGGCCGCGGGATGCCGTTTGCCAACGAGCCAAGAATGACATAGCCACGCTGGCGGGCCATACACTTAAGAATGCTGCCTCTCCGACAGTTTCCTACTACTCAGCAGCAATCAAGTTGACCTTGTTCTGTCTCAGTCGTTGTTCTTCGCCCCGCCCCACCCGGCTTTACTTACGACTTTCTTCTTTGGGAGACATCCTAAATTTCACTCACTGCGGGTCAGATTCTACTTTTTTTCCCTCTTTATTTTTTCGATATCTTCAGAAACCATGAAGTTCCACGTTACTCCTAATTTGCTCGCTCTGAGCCTGTTGACGGCTTCCGGAAACGCCCTTCCCCATGGCAATGCCAATGCTCTCGAGAAGCGCTTCGTGGTACGTTCACTCCCCCCGCTCCGCTGCCAGAAACCTCATCCCCGGTTCTAACATCCAACACAGGACACCGCGAACAAGGCTGCCCCTTCGATGATGTCAAGGGATACTCTTGTACGTCGTCAAAACTCCACCTCAAATGCATTCCAGGGGTTCCCCCGGGGTGTAGCCGCTCCCGACAGCAATTCCAACAATCTCCAGGACATCACTCCCGAGGAAGGTCTCGCGGCGAACCGAAGAGCGCTCCATGTCCGCTACCCCGAAGGTGCCGGTGCCGCCGGTGCCGACCCTGCTGCCAAACCCGCTGCCGCCGCCGCCGCCGACCCAGCTGCCGCCGATCCGGCTGCCGCCGATCCGGCTGCTGCTAAAGACACTGCCGCCGCCGCTCCTGCCGCTGCTGACCAAGCCGCCGCCGACCCTGCTGCGGCCGACCCTGCTGCCGCTGCCGCTGACACCGCTGCCGCCGCCAACACTGCCGCTGCCGCTGCTGCTGCTGATCCCGCAGCCGCTGCCGCCGCCGATCCCGCAGCAGCTGCCGCCGCCACGCCCGCGGCCGGTGCTGGTGCTGGTGCTGGGGCCGGCGCCGATGCCGGAGCTGACAGCGGCAGCGGTGGTGGTCTCCTGAGCGGCTTGCTCGGCAAACTCACTGGCGGTGGCGGTGGCGATGATGCCGCTGCCGGCGCCGGAGGGGGTGCTGCCGCCGCCGGCGGCGACGCTGGGGCCGGTGGTGGTGGCGGCGGTGCCCTTGGTGACCTGCTCGGTAAGGTCACTGGCGGTGGCGGTGGCGATGATGCTGCTGCTGCCGGTGGTGCTGCTGCCGGTGGTGCTGCTGCCGATGGTGCTGCTGCCGATGGTGCTGCCGCCGGCGGTACGGCTGCTGATGCCGCTGCAGGAAAGGCTGCCGACGACGGTGGCAGCGGTGGCCTTCTCGGTGGCCTCCTTGGAGGAGGTGGTGGTGGCGGTCTTCTGTCAGGCCTCGGCCTGAAGGAACGCTCTGCCGAGCCGCAGAATGGTGGACTTCTCGGCAATGTCGGCGACCTTGTGGGAGATGTCACTGGCGATGTTGGGCTGAAGGAACGTTCTCCCCAGCCCCAGAGTGGTGGACTCCTTGGCGGCGTCGGCGACCTTGTCGGTGATGTGACGGGCGACGTCGGGCTGAAGGAGCGTGCTCCTCAACCTCAGAGTGGTGGACTTCTTGGCGGCGTCGGCGACCTTGTCGGTGATGTTACGGGTGACGTTGGACTGAAGAAGCGCTCTCCTCAGCCCCAAAATGGCGGACTCCTCGGCGGCGTTGGTGACCTCGTGGGAGACGTAACGGGTGACGTCGGCCTGAAGCAGCGTTCTCCTCAGCCCCAGGACGATGGAAACGGCGGACTTCTCGGCGGCGTCGGCAACCTTGTGGGAGGCTTGACGGGTGGAGGTGGAAGCGGTGGTGGTGACGGAGGTCTCCTGGGAGGCCTCGGACTGAAGGAGCGCTCCCCTCACAGCGCCAACGCCAACGCAAACCTGAACTCAAGAGCGCTCCTGAACACGACCGAAAACAGCTTTGGCAGGAGGGCTAGTTCCAACTCGACTGCGAGCGCCATCACCAACACCAACAAGGTGCGGAACCCGGGCCCGAACTCAATGTGCGGCCGTTCTTTGAAGCTTTTCGAGCGCGACCCTAGCAGAGATCACATTGCTGCTGCCGCCATCAACTGCGCTCGTGCAGTGCCGGCTTCTTCCTCGGAGAGCATCGTGGACGTCTTGAAGAGGGATGTCATGATCATGAACAAGCGGGAGGCGAAGCCTCCTACGGGTGAAGCTGCATCTGCCGAGGGTTCTGTCTAGACGATCATGGGATATGGCCCAAGATCGGACCTCGGAAGTAACAGTGCCGCCCTGTCGGCTACCTATCGCACAGGGTGAAGCTGTCTACTGACTATGAGAGCAGCGCCGAAATACGGTCAGACTCATGGGTATAGTCAGGACTTAGTGTGTAAATTCACGATGGGACTCATGGCTGCTGCTGCCGAACACAGCCGCGGGGTTGAGGAAAGTGTCCAGACAGTCGTTACATGTCGTTTTCTTGTATCGTAAAGATGGATATCCACAATGTTTGCAGAGTAATATATAGCTTGGGCTGGTGGCAACCAGAGACGGAGCAAGAATCAGACTGTTTGACCAAATCATCAGTAGTTGGCATGAATCAGTGATTGCTGTGCAGGGTGCAGCCCGCCTAGACGTTGTCCTGATCCAGTACAAGCTTGACTTCGCAAAGAGAGAGGAAAAGAGACGAGAGTGGACGAGCAGAGTGCTAATGGCGAGGATCGAGTCAGCGGAGAGAGCGTTGGGTGGGGCGAATCACGTGAGACAGATGTCATGGCGACGGGGTGGTCTGCGTAGGGGCGTGGGCGAACCATGGAGGGTGGGATAATCTGGGGTCAGCGGAGCGGAGGAGAAGACTGACACTGACAGGAGTCAGACAGGCTCGGATCCGAGCGGCCGGTGAGGGCACGCTTATTTTTCGGAAGGAGCCAGGCTGAGCGCCAAGGCCGGTGGCACGGGTCTCCGGTGGTGCTATCGGAGCCGCGACGGCGACTCTTCCAGTCTCCTTCGTCACCACATCACACCCGCCAAGTGCGAGTGGCCACCCTCTCTCTGCTCTTTACTTCCATCAATTACGCCCCCGTTATATCCCTCTCGTCCTCTGAGCTACTGTCTTTCCTTATTTTGTTGCGGCATCGGCCGCTCCGAGAAACAACCATGGCTTTCCACGCTCCGGTCAGCCTGCAGGTGCGCTCAAGACCGCCCGCCCCAACCCTCTCCGCGACCGAACTGGTGCTAATACCCCACAGGGCATCGCCTCTGCTGCGACTGGAACCTGGCCGTCAATTTCCGCTGTTGCGCCGGCTCCGTGGCGACTAGTCGGACGTCGCGCGTCGCCTTCCGAGTCCGCAACACTACGTGATGGATCCAAGGCACACAAGGCAAACGTATGTTCCGGAGGCCATTCGGAATCTGCGGCTACTGATGGAAGACAGGCCGTCGTGCCCGAATGTCTTGCTTCCGTCCCGCTCTCTGCTCTCCGCCCTCGCCCGTCGCCAGAAGCACTCGGTGCCCCGCAAACAGTAGCTGGCATGTTTTCTCAAGGCAAGTGACTAGGACGAGATTCGCTGGGCGCGCAATACTTCTGACAGCTCGCTAATAGTTGTACAGTACCGGCTCACACCCTCCGACGCTTCAGTCCTCTGTCTCGCGCTTTCCCTTCGGTTTCGACTACTTCTCGGCAATACTCGACTCTTACGCGGCTCGCTCCTTTCAAGCTCAACCCAGTCCCAAGGCCTGGAAATGTTGGGTTGACCCAGCAGCGCAGCATCTTCGGCGGCAACACTTCACGTAACCTTCTCGCTCATATGGAACAAACGGCAAACAACAACCCTGGTAGTGCAAGCGCGCAGAACGCGTTTTATGCTGCGCTGCTCCGTGCCAACCTTCCGCAGATTGTCGTCGAACGGTACGAGTCAGGCAGATTTGCTACAAACGCCGCATGTGACGCGCTTTACACCCGGGGCTTGGAAAGACTTGGTCAATCGGACAAGGCACCCGGCCTTCAGGGCAACAATGGCACTGCCGGGCAGTCCTCTGGTCTCGGCATGGACCAAATTTCGGCTATCGGTCAAGCGGTTGGTGCACGCGTCCGTGGTGGCAATGTTGCGACCGCCCGTAGCGGATCCGGTGAGAGGGCTAGCCCGCTCTACGTCGTCGTCGAAGAATCCACCGGCAGCACTATTTTCAAATGGGTCAAGTTCTTCTTGTGGTTTGGGCTTCTTACCTACCTGTCCATGGTCTGTGTGACTATGGTCATCGAGGCCAGCGGAATGCTGCAAAGGCGCGGTGCCAAGCAGGATATGGAGGCGAAGCCGGAACTTCAGACTACCCGATTCAGTGATGTCCACGGTTGCGAAGAGGCCAAAGAGGAACTTCAGGAGCTCGTCGATTTTCTCAAGGCCCCGGATAAGTTCAACGCTCTCGGCGGCAAGCTCCCCAAGGGTGTTCTCCTGGTTGGCCCTCCTGGTACCGGTAAGACTCTGCTGGCCCGCGCAGTGGCTGGAGAGGCTGGTGTTCCGTTCTTCTACATGTCTGGTTCAGAATTCGATGAGGTATATGTCGGCGTGGGTGCCAAGCGCGTCAGAGAGCTTTTCGACGCGGCAAAGTCCAAGGCGCCTGCCATTGTCTTCGTTGATGAACTCGATGCTATTGGTGGCAAACGCAACGACCGTGATCACGCATACGTCAAGCAGACTCTCAACCAACTTCTCACGGAGCTGGATGGCTTTGAGCAGAACTCTGGTGTCATCTTCATCGCTGCCACTAACTTCCCGGAACTCCTCGACAAGGCTCTTACCCGTCCTGGACGATTTGATCGCAACGTGACTGTCCCTCTTCCGGATGTTCGTGGTCGCTCTTCTATCCTCAAGCATCACATGAGGAACGTTCAGATTGGCACCGACGTCGATGCGGATGTTATTGCTCGTGGAACTCCGGGATTCAGCGGTGCTGAGCTTGAGAACATTGTGAATCAGGCTGCAGTACATGCTTCTAAAAACAAGCAGAAGCGCGTCTCCATGATTGATTTCGAATGGGCCAAGGACAAGGTTCTTCTCGGTGCTGAACGCCGCTCTGCGGTGATTCAGCAGAAGGACAAGATCGCGACGGCTTACCACGAGGGCGGGCATGCGCTAGTTGCCATGTTCACCAAGCACTCGGATCCTCTTTACAAGGCTACCATCATGCCTCGTGGCCATGCTCTCGGCATCACCTTCCAGCTACCCGAGATGGACAGGGTCAGCCAGACAAAGCTGGAGTATCTTGCTCACATCGATGTTTGCATGGGAGGCAAGGTTGCGGAGGAACTCATCTACGGGCCCGATTACGTCACGTCTGGAGGTTCCAGCGACATCCAGAAGGCCACTGCCATTGCTTACTCCATGGTCACGCAGATGGGCATGAGTGACGAGCTGGGCAACATTGATCTCTACAGCAACTTTTCTCGGCTGTCTTCGGAAACGAAGAACAAGATCGAGGACGAAGTGCGCAAAATCCTGGACGCTTCGAGAGAGCGAGCAAAGAAGCTCTTGACGGAGAAGCGGCAGGAGCTTGACCGTCTTGCCGGGGCGCTGGTCGAGTACGAGAGCTTGTCGAAGGAGGAGATGGAGAAGGCGGTGAGAGGCGAGAAGATTGACAACAAACTCAAGGGCGAGTTCCAGTTGCCGATCAAGCTCCCCGAAAGCCTCATGCCGCCCGCATTACCGGGAAGTGGCGACCAATCCGGCAACTCGCCGGCTCCAGGCTCGGGCATCCCCGGGGCCAACGGCATGAACGAGAGGTGAGGGGCAGCTGCAGGTAGACTGTAAAAGCGAATTGTACGAGAATGACATGGCAAAGGACGGCCCTACGGCGCCGGGCCGTGGTCGCTGCGGCTAATGCACGACGCGTGGCGTTTGGGGTACAGTGAACAGTGGTGGAAAAGCCTTCGCTCCCGGGGTTGGACGGCGACGAGGAAGAGAGAATCTCCCTGAGCATTGTTTTAGCGCGCGATGTGCTGTATTCATGGGCAGCGCCGACGGGATCATCAGATAGCCACATAGCATAGCATCTCAAACGACAGATGGCGTGCGGCAGTAGCGTCCGTCATGGTGATGTCTACCTACCTAGCGTACCAAGGCACGAAGGGGCAGATCTGCCGGCAGCGTCAGTGACGGCAGGTGGCAGCGCTGTTTCTGCAAGACGGCGCCGGGCGGGTGGAGATGGGCTGACGATGATGTGCATGGCCGGCGCGCACAGTCGCACAGAAGCAGCTGGAAGCGAAGCATCCGGGGAAGGCCAGGGAAGGCGCTCGTGGGCGCTGGGCCTCGCAGGCCTCGCAGGCCTCGCAGCCAAACCCCAGGCCGTCCAATCAAGCTGGCGCCGTCGCATTCTTGTTGAGACGTCCTGCGCGCCTCGCCAACACTTTGTCTGCCGCTCCGCAAGCCTGTGCCCGGTCCGTTGCGCTTCTCCAGCTCTCACACCTCGGCGTGCAGGGGCCTCGCCGGTCGAGCGCGTGCGTGCGTCGCATCCCGCCGTGGCGCCGCGATAGAGGAAAAACACAGCACATGCTCGCCTGCCCGCCCTGGTGGGGTACCGTGATCCTGCCATATTTAAGCGCAGCTTCTATACCGCCTCGCGCCGCAAATCCCTCATCGGCGCTGCCCTCCGTGCCATTCCTCTCTTCGCTTGTCCCGGCGCGTCTCTAGGCCGCTCTCCAGTCCTGAATTCACACAACATCTCGCCACAGCGCCCTCCGCTCGGCTGCCGCTAACACGCCGCGTTCCCGCGTCCGCTGCCGAGCGCGCCCCGGGTCCTCCTATAATAGGCAGTCTTCACCTGCCCCGCTGAACCCGTTGGAAGGCGCCCGACATTGACACGGACTACATACCCTCGGCACCATGCCGCAGAACAGCTCGGACAAGGGCCGGAAGTCGGCAGCCCAGACGCTGGCGCCCATGAACAACTTCATATACGACTTTTTACTATGGACCTTCTCTATCCTCGTCGACCTGTTCTTCAGGGAAGTCCACCCGCGAAGCTCGTGGAAGATCCCCCGCAGCGGCCCCGTCATTTTCGTGGCTGCTCCTCACGCGAACCAGGTAAGCAGACGGAGCTCCCATTTCGGTGGTTTGTGGAGGTTTTGTGGAGGAGCTGACGAGGGACGTAGTTTGTTGATCCCCTCATCCTCATGCGCGTCGTGCGTTTGGAGGCCGCCCGCCGCATCTGCTTCCTGATCGCCGAGAAATCAATGCGGAGAAAGTTCATCGGATGGTTCGCTCGCAACGTCGGCGCTCTGCCCGTGGGGAGGGCATTGGACAGCACAAGGCCTACCCCAGGCAAAGTCTACCTTCCGGACCCTGTCAACGACCCCACCCTCGTCCGGGGTGTGGGGACGAACTTTGAGGGCAAAGACTTCCAGGTCGGGGGATTGGTTGTGCTCCCCTCGGTCAACAATACTGCTGCAAGCGCGGAGATTTTGGAGATACATGGACCGGAAGAGCTGCGTGTCAAGAAGCCATTCAAGGGCGGAGTGGCGTTGCGCCAGCTAACCGGGCGCGAGGATATCAGCGATGAAGGAAAGATATTGAACGGCAATGGCAAGATTGGTCCGGCAGAGGGATTTGAAGGAATCAACTTCAAGGTTGCTCCGAAAGTAGACCAGAGCAAAGTGTACGACGCCGTCTTCGAGAAGCTCAACCAAGGCGGGTGTGTTGGCATCTTCCCTGAAGGTGGTAGCCATGACCGTACGGAGCTCTTGCCCCTCAAAGGTAGTTTTCATTTCCATACATTTTGAGCGGATAACCACTAATACAGGTGAACAGCTGGAGTGGCGATTATGGCCCTTGGCGCGCTTGCTGCCAATCCGGATAGTGGGCTGAAGATTGTGCCTGTCGGTATGAACTATTTCCACGCCCACAAGTTCCGCTCAAGGGCTGTGATAGAGTTTGGTACGCCGGTTGAAGTTCCCCCGGAACTCATAGAGCTGTACAAGCAGGGGGAGCGCAGAGAAGCTGTGGGCAAGCTCCTGGAAAATGTTTACAACGCTTTGGTCGCCGTCACAGTGACCGCACCAGACTACGAAACACTGATGGTATGTCTCGTCGATTTCCGACTCTGGAGAAGTCTCCGACGTCTAATGACTCTCGCAGTTGATCCAAGCCGTTCGCCGCCTTTACAACCCAAAGGGCAAGAAGTTGCCTCTTCCCATGGTCATCGAGCTCAACCGTCGGCTTGTAAAGGGTTACGAGCGATACAAGGACGACCCCCGCATCGTCAACCTGAAGCAGTCGGTCCTTGCGTACAACAAGAAGCTGATGATGCTGAACGTCCGCGATCATCAGGTGGAGTATGCGACATTCTCCATTCACAAGGTTGTATTTATGTTGGTATACCGATTCAGCAAGCTACTCTTGCTGTCTATCGGTGTGCTGCCCGGTCTTGTCTTATTCGCGCCGGTTTTCATCGCCGGCAAGCGTATTTCCATCAGGAAGTCAAAGGAAGCGTTGGCAGCCTCGACGGTCAAGATCCAGGCCAAGGACGTTGTGGCAACCTGGAAGCTCCTTGTATCGATGGCTTTCGCCCCGTTGCTCTACAACTTCTACACGAGTCTGCTGGCCTGGTGGACCTACCGCAACCGTATCCGAGGCCTTGTGCCAGAATCGGTCCCGATTTTCGCCGTCTTCTTGTGTGGCTGGATAGTCTTCCCGACGATCACGTATGCAGCTCTCCGTTTCGGCGAGGTTGGAATGGACATCTTCAAGTCGCTGCGGCCACTCGCTCTCTCACTCAACCCTTCGTCCAGCAACACGCTACACAAGCTGAGAGTGATGCGGGCGGACCTAGTGCGCGAGCTCAACGATGTCATCAACGAGCTGGGGCCCGAGATGTATCCCGATTTCGACCACGCCAGGATCGTTGTGGACCCGTTCCACGACGAGTCTCCAAAGGTCGAGAACTTCAAGCGGCGCGACAGCGAGTACTCGCTCGAGTCGATGCCCTCTTCGCCCAGCCAGTCCAACGTCCGCGTGACGGACACGAGCATGGGTGGAGGGCTGACGGCGGATGGACATCTGCCGCGGAACGAATCATTCAAGAACCTGGGCAACATTGCGCTCTTCGCAACGAGGCCAACGACGCCAAGCAAGTCGCGGTCTCGAACAAACTCCAGCGGGGGGCTTGCGGGGAGCGGGGGATTCCCGCTGCAGGGCTTCAGCACGCTGGACAGCCAAGGGGGCTTCGAGGAGGTGAGCAAGAAGATCCGCGGGGCGATGCGCGAGAGGGGCCAGCGGCGGAGAAGCAGCAACCCCACCAACGAGTGGGAACTGGGGGGCGGCAGCGGGGCGACGACGCCGGGCAGCGAGGTCAGCGGGTTCAGCGGGTTCACGGACGGCAAGAAGGAGAAATGAGGAGAAATGAGGAGGCGTGGATATTCAGCATGGTGTCTGGCGTTTGTTTCGCGGGATGGGCATCTTGGGCGGGCTGCTGTACATGTACACCGTAGAAGTGGTAGAAATATGGAGACGGGTGTCTCAGGCACGCACCTGTGGGTGGCGCCGCGCTAGAGAGGACCTGTGCGCGCCGTTTCATGTCCCGTACGCAGGGCAAGTCCGGGCCATGTGAAGACATGTGAAATTGCAGCGCTGCAGGAATGCGACTCGGGGCTGCAGGCGCGCCCATCGGGAAGCGTGCGCGGCGCATGCACGATTCGGATACCCTGCACGTCGTCCGTGTCGTCCACCACCCGCCGTGAGCATGGCGATCTCGTACCCACGCACCCGACATCAATGACGCCGCATCCCGCGCCCAGCGAGTGATAAGGCGCCGCTCGGACGCACAACTCAGCGTTGCCAGTTTGCCCACGGCGTGGCAGCCTCGAGCAACACCACGGCCCATCACGGCCCATCACGGCCCAGCCCTCTCTGGCGGCGACCATGACTGCGTGTGGCCCCGCGCTCCCGCCCACGCCCAAGCCGCGCTGAGCAAAGAGTGCGAGACCCGAAGGCCCCGCCGCCGGGACGAGACAAGTGCGCGGCACCCTGCATCAGGCCCACGTTTCAGGCCGCCCGTGCGACGACGTGTGTTGGCTGCCTCTGTTTCTGCTCCCGCTGCGCAAGCTCCAAGTCAAGCCGCGAGAAGGCATGGCGCCCTCCAACGTCTTCTCCTACCTGCGCCCGCACCACCGCCGCGCCCACTCGCAGCCAAACTCACCCGAGCCGCCCGTGTCCGCGTCATCGCAGATCTCGCCTACCACGCCCCAGCACTTCCAGGACATCTTCTCGCCCGCCACCAACCCCCAGCTTCCGCTCCCTCCGCTCCCTCCGAACCCCCACCGTTTCCTCGCAGACCAGAGCAGCTCCGCCTCCAATTCTCCCGTCAGCCCCTTCCCGCCCGTCCTGCCGCCCATCCCGCGCATTGCCAGTCGGAGCGAGCCGCCCGCGCCCCAAAAACAAGTCCCACGGAACAAGCGGCGGTCAGCGCCCCCGCCGCCTGCCAGCGCAGCCCAGAAGCTTGGGAGACAACAGCAGCAGCAGCAGCCGTCACGGCCGTTTGGTGGTCCCGGAACTGCTGCGCACCAAGGTGGCAGCAGTGCTGTTGCTGGTACCCAGCAGCTCTTGTCACCGCCGCCCGACCAGCCACGACCGTCCCCGGACTCGGTGCAGGCCCCAGACAGCTGGCGCGACCCGGCGACGACGAGCAAGAGGGTGAGCGCCCCGACGGGCTTCCGGTCGAGGGGTCAGAGAGCACAGTCAGGCGCTGGTCAAAATGGTCCGTTGATAGACCAGGTGCCGTCCTTCTCGCACAGTGACCCGCCCGCGCATGCCCCCACACCGTCCTTCCAGAGCCCGTACATGATGAGCCAGTCCTCGCTGTCCTCCTCCGGGCTATCGGAGAAGATGGCCAGCTCCGGAAAGCCTGCCGCCTCGGCCCAACATGGAAAGAGTGGCAAGAGAGGTCTGAACTTGCTGAACCCCATGTCATTACTGCTCAGAAGAAGGTCTGCCCAGGCATTACAACATCTTTCAGAAGAGAGTCTCGTCACTCACCGCAGCAACGTCGTCCCGGCAATGGCGCTTGGGGACGACTTCGACCCGAGTATCCGAGGTCACATTGTGCACGACTTCAGCGCTCCCAAGCCCCGGAGAGCCGTGTCTTACGATCCCGCGGCGAACAACTCTTTCCGTGTCAGGGATTTTGATCTTGGAAGGCTGTCTCGGCGGAGAGATGACGAGAGCAGTCCATCGAAACGTGACCGTTCACACACTCCTGTGTTCAAGGAGAATTTCGACGACAACACCGAGGCAGACGATGAAAGAAGAAAGTCGGCAATCCGCGCCGAAACGCTTGCGAACCACGACTTCCTTGCACGAAATGCAGTTCCCAGCTCGGAACCGGAGCTTCCTGCACCTCCGTTTGCTCGAACAGCCGCCAATGCTCCGCATCTAGCGCGGATATCCATACCGCCACCGCTCGACCAAGTGCCGATCCGCGATGATGCCCCGGGAGGACTGGCAACGGTTCCGGAAGCGAGCCCGACCTCGCCCGTCTCGGTGGAGTCAAAACGATCAAGCGCCACAAAGGCGTCGCCAAAGACGCGGTCAAGAGCGACGTCTGGAGCCGACTCTAGCTTTCAACCAGCTGGCCTTCCGACGCACATGACGAGCAGGGCCTCCCGCTTCAGCTTCCAAATCGCAGGAGTCGATTCAGCGGCACAGGAGAAGTTACTCGAGGAGAAGCACCGGCAGAAAGTTGCGGCACGGGAGCGGAACAGAGGTGCCGACGACGGTGACGAAGAGGAGGACGACTTCGACTACGACAATATAGATGATGACTTGTTCCCTGGGTTTGAAGAGGAGGTACCAACTATAGGTGAAGATTTGGAATACCCTGACGATTACGGGTACGGAGGCTACGGAGGCTACAGCAACGTAGGGACAGCACCCGGGTTGGCATCATACGACATTAACTCGATGAATGTGAGAGTGCCATTCAACAGTACTCTGAGTCCAATCAGCGCGGGTGGGTCGTCGCTTGCTACACCACCAATCGACGCTTTCGGCAACGTCATTGGTTCGGCAACCGCCGACGACCAGCAGAAAGTCGCACCTACACCAAGCCCACTGAGTGCTCCTCCTGTAATAGGCAACCACGAGGACAGCCAAGGAGCTGCCGGACTTGGACTCATCGAGCCTGAGCAAGTCGCCGACGAACTCGGCCAAACACATCTCAGCCCGTCTACCAGCTCAACCTCTGCACAGCAGGCGGCGCCCACACAGCCGGCCAGAGTCAACATCCTAGACGACGACGACGACGACGACGACGATATGTATTTTGACGATGGCATGATTGGAGAGCCAGATCCGCCAGAGCATGATGAGAAGTTTGATGAATCTGTTTTCGACGATCCGAATCATCCGCTTTACGAACGTCCCGCACCAGTCATGAAATCTCCGCCGCTCGTGAATGCTGGGCCGGATTCCGATGATCTCGATCCTGAAGATGAGCACACGTCTAAGACTGGACTGGCACCACATCCATCTATGCGTGGAAATGGCCCGCCGTTCCAGGTCGCCGGCGATCCTTTGGAGTTCAACAACCCCAAGGATTACTTCAGTGCCCTGGTCCAAGCTACACACAAAGCGGAGGCAGACGGGCGATTTGTGCGAAAGAACAGTGTTGCCACGACCAACCTGTCTGCCCCGAGCAAGGACGAGGACGACGAGGACGAGGACGAGGAGCAAGCGCAACAGACTCGGAACGCTATGCGCGACTCACAAGACACCGCCCCAGACCTGGTTCCCGATTCAAGTCGTGTGAGCGCTGCTACCGAAACGTTCTCGCCCAATGCGATACATGATATCGGAGACATGGGCTTCGATCCAAACGCGTACGAAGATGACTTCGGAGATGGGTTCGATGACTACGACAGTGCTCTCGAGGACGATCCGATCATCGCCGCTGCAAACGCTGAAGCTCTGGCAAATGACTACGAAGGCGAGTATGGCTCTGAATTCGGCTTTTACGCTTCTGCGGGTGGAGGCATCGACGCCGTTTACGGAGGGTTCTTCGGCCCCAGAGACATGATAGGACGTAGCGTTAGCGGCCGCTACGCAGTAAGGGAACCCAACCTCACCCCCATCACGGAACGCTCCGAGTACAGTACCCGCAACTCTTTTATTGGCATGGGTCCATTGTCTGCTGGCCCCACGAGCGCCGGAATCCCTGGGCAGCACACTTCAGCCGGCGCTCTTCCGTCACCTGGACTCGCGCAATTGGCGCGAATGAGTCCCTACGGTTTTCCTCCGGGCTCCGAAGACGACCATGACTATGACTATAGCTTCGAGCAGTTAATGAAGTTACGAAAGGGCGCCTTTGGTGCCGCCGGTGGTGCGAGCCCCGGCGGAAGTGCTGCCAGCAGCCCAAGGAACTCGAGTCCCCTAAGCTACTTTCCTGGCAGCTTCCCTGGTCGAAGCAGCCCTGTCGCAACCAGAGCAAAAAGTGCATTGGATACCTATACGGACCTTCCTGAAGTTGAGGAAACACCGAACGAGCCCAGTGAAGTCCATGAAGGTGACGAGGACGATGGAGGGTCAGATGGAGATGAGGCTGCGCTATTGGAAGTCAACAGAGCGGACTCCGCATCAGACACCACCAATCCTGACAGTAAGCGCAGTAGCTTACAACAGGAGAAAGGCAGTGCGACCAGCCCTATTTCATCCACTGAGAAGAAGGTACCGCATCAAATCAATACCAACTACGAATACTTCCTCCCCGATCAGCCGGGGAATATCCCCGTCTCCGTCCCCACTTCCGCCATCTCCACCACCTCTACCAACTCTCTTCCCACGAGCCTTACATCTGCTGGCGGCGCTCACTCTACGTCAGCATCAGTGTCGAACATCGCTTCCGCTCCGCTATTCTCATCGAATTCATCACAACCGCTGCAGTCCAACTGCTCATCAATGACCGAACCCCGCCCTTCATCCTCCGATCAAGCCAACAATTTCCCTCTTGGTTTTCACAGCAACGCTGCCATCAGTCGCGATTCCTCTCAGTCTATCGCTGTTCTTTCCCCGCTGTCTCCGTCCTTTCCAGCTCCGTCAGCCAACTTCGCAGATCATCCTCACTACAAGTCCGGCGGTGGGAGACACAGCAGGACAAGCAGCGGAGGTATGGACAGCGTGGCGTACATCAAGGAGCGCGTCGAGACGGAAGGGCATGGATCGGACGGACGGCCACCGGAATTTCGATGGGTGCTGGAAAGGCGGAGGACGAGCGGTACTGGGGAGGTAGAGGTCATTGGCAGAGAGATCGTCGAGGGAGGGAGGATTTAAAAAGTGGGTGAAAAACAAAATAGAACTGGCTCTGGGACTTGCGTTCTGCTTTTTTTTTTCGTTTCCTATTTCTTTTGCGTTTCGACTTGATACCACAGTAGGCTGCGAAATCGCGTTGCAGTGAAGACTTTGGGTCTTGAAAGACTCGCGGTCTACACGTTGAAACGCGCTTGATGCTTGGGGACGCCTGATGAGGAGGGGAAAAGAGGGAGCGAGAAGATTGAGTGAAAGGGCAATTGGGCACACAAGCATTTTTTGGGACTCCTACCGGACGCTGGATAAAGAATCTTGGGTATGCATAGCAATGGCGTTTATTTCTTCTTCCTTTTCCTTTTTGGATCCCGTCTTTCAAAACAACCTCCCCGGTTTCTCCTTTCATTGGGGTTCACATCTGGGAGGCTATTCAACATCAATTTGTGTGCGGCTCGTATTGTCTTTCGCCTGTCTTTTTTCCGTCGCGAAAGAAAATTGCTCCTGGATCTTTTTGGTTTCTTTTTTGGGTTGGTCATCTTCCACGCGGGTCTTTTCATCATAGAACTAGCCCTCCTATTTCCTTCCTTAATTTTTATTCCAAGTCCAGAATGTTAATGATAATGTCCGTCGCTATCTTCTTGAACGAACCGTTTGTCAACTAAGATCTTGGGGGTCGACTTTTAATGCCATCTCATCTTATCTCACGCATACTGCCTCATATTTTGAAGGGAGCACGGCACGTAAGATCTCACTGGGTTTATATACGCTACTTGATGATATCGCCAAACGGGGTGGACGGTGCAAAGCAAGTTGGTTCACGGCAGATAGCCTCACGCTGGACAGCGGAGCCCGTCTTGCCCAGGAGTTGACGTTGAGTAGGTCCCTTCGGAGTTGAAATAATCGGATCTGATGATTTATTGAGGTGCTCACTCGTATACACACACACACACAAAATAGGAGTTGGCGGTTTACTTGTTTCGTCGTCTGAAACCTTCGAATGTATATCGAGGCTGTGGGCTTTGATTTCCAATGATGGACTATCATATCGTCTTCGAGATCTCTTTCCTCACATCATCCATGGGATACCAACTTGCGCCACATCAAAAGTAGTGTTGGTCGCCTAGGCACATGGGGACATACTTATCAACGAGAATGATACGTGCACACAAACAATCACACACACACAAGGGCCAAGGTTGTTTTAGAGCATTTCCACAAGGAGATTCCATGAATCGTTCAGCACTTGAAAGGCTCTCTTGAGAGAACGATCCTAAGAACGCGCCGATGAAGTGTATTTATTGTACAACTTGGAACAAGGAAAAACTGCAAGAGAAGCCTCTCCACTTCCTATCCAGGGAACCCTCGGAGAAAAAAAAAAAAGAGGCAATTCCAATCGTACCCAAAAAGAGGGGGGTTAAACTGATCAGGGCAAAGCTTCCCCGTATCCAATCCCTCCGATGGGAATGATATATGTGCAAAGTACAGGACATATCTCGTCCGCACTGGGCAAGAATTCCTTCAATACAAAGCAAGCAGTAAAAGCAGATCTGCCTTGACGCCATATTCCGTACCGTAAACCACCGCCAGCCGTCCCGTCCCATCCGGAGACACCGTGAAAAGTCGCCAGGTCCTGTTCGCCGAGAAAATAGACAGTCAAGGAAAAGAAAAAAACAAGAAAATCTCCAGACGTAGGGTGTTCCGTCTCAGTCTGGTACTGAAAAGCATGGTCAGAAGCAAGCGCGGCACATTCCCAAGCTTGCAGCGGGCCGAGCAGCTCTCAGTATGATGTTAAGAGGATTGTCCGGTTGGGCAATCCGCTTACCGCCAGGCACTCTTTGAATCTCCCTTGAGGTTGCTACCAGCACCCGGTGCGCGGACGCCTCCCATCCTTACCGCTTGGCCAGCGGCGAGCCCACCAAGACGGCCCCTGTCCTCGCTCAACGTGACGCGGCGAGCACCGGCAATGGGCGCACCTCCCTTAGTGATAGAGGTCCGGCGAGCGTGCGCCGTAGGAGGGCTCTTCAGGTTGTTACGAGCGTTGAGACGTGCAGACCCAGTGCTGCTGTGTACTTTGTGATGGCCAAGCATGCTTGTCCTCTCACCAACCGAGGTGCGCTTGATAGCCGTGCGGATCTTGCGCGCTGCGTTTTGGTCATCGCCCTTGCTAACGCGGTGGAGCCAAGACCGCTCGTCGTCAGATGAGGTAGCACTAGCCTTGTCCGAGTCGTTGGGGGTTGCTTCGGACGACGAAGGGATGTTGGACGATGACACATGCAAAGGCGAACGGCCGCGTGCCTTATTGAGCTCCAATTCACGCAGGGGAGAGCCTTCACGTTCGGAATCCGACGAGAATGCGGGCAGAAGCGAAGGTGATGACGGCTTCTTCGAGAGAAAGCCGGTCTGGAAGCGAGTGTTGGGACGGACGGGCTTAACCTCGAGGGAAGCTACATTCGGCGGTGCGGGGATGGGAGATGAATCAAGAGTTCCAGTCAGAGAAGGAATTCCACTCATGGACTTATCCGCAGATGAGCCGGGAGGAGGAGTGTAGTCGAGAGCTTGCGGCGTAGCCTGGAACTCGACGAGAGCGCCATCATCAGTATCGTCCCTCCAGCGAACGCCACGCTTTACGTGCTTGCTAGGAGATTTCTTTGGCGTAACCTTCAGACCCTTGCGCGGCGCGTTGAACTTGCGTCTGCGGGGAGAAGCCATGGCCTTAGCAGGGGAAGAGTAAGCGTTCTCCCAATTGGGAACAGGCAGCTTCATCGGCGAAGGCGCTACCAGCTTGACAGGATTCCTCCTCTTCGGCGTGCCACGGCTGGTGGGCGGAAAGGCCTCAGTGACCGGCAGCCCACCATCAGGTTTGATGACCTGAGAAGCGGCCTCCGAGCAGCAAGACACCAACTTGCCTAGCATCTCCTTCGCCGCGCGCACGGCCTCCTCCTCATCCATAACCATAATTTGGCCGAGAATGGCCACGACTTCGAACTGAGCTTGGAGCAGCATCTGGATCACTGCTGAGTCTCCACCCTTCTCCTGTTCCAGAACAGCAGCATACGTCTCCCGATCAGCGTTGGCTCTGAGTAGCTCCGCCTCCCTCATGAGGGTTGCAACGTCAGCGCTGCAGTTCGCTGGATCAGTTTCTTTCAGCTGGCGGACGCCGGTGTGGAGAGCTGTGTCGATAGCACGATCCCAGGTGTTCTTCGCCAGTCGCTGGTGGAAGTGCTGGCGGGTGCTCTCCAGCTCTGTTTGGATGCCGAGAGCGGTCTTGCGCATGGCGACAAAGTTTTGCGGCGCCTCTTCATCCTCCCTTTGCTCGCACACGGTGTCGAATCCAGCGATCCATGCGGATATCATCGAAATGCGTCTCTCCACCTGCCTGAGCTTTTTCAGCGAGTTAACACGGTCCTGCTTTTCGGCTCCGGCATTCTCATAAGCTGAGCGAATCCTCATAATGCCTTCCTTCGCGATGACGTCCCTCTTCTCGCTCTGTTTCTTGAACTTGACGAATGCACTCCCTTCGAGATCCTTCATCTTTGCTTGCAACTCTTCGATCAGCTGCCTCTGTTCGTCGATCTTCTTCAGGTAATCCTTGACGTGGCGATCCACATTGTAGATATTCTTCGACACCTTGGTCTGGATGTTCTTCGCGCGATTGGCGTAGCGGAGCGTGTTTTGAGACTCGTCATAGTGTGCACTCGATGGACTGACGCAGACGATCATGACAGTCTTGCAGTTTCCACCGAGGGAGAATTTCAAGAGTCGCGTGAGCTTCGAATTACGGTAGGGAACGTGATTCTTCTTGCGAGGATCACACAAGGCGTTGATGCAGCTTCCTAAAGCAAGGAGCGACTTGTTGATGTTGGCACCTTCAACCAGGCGCTCGCCACGGTTCTTGGTGGCGCTGGCACGCTCGCTTCCGGCCAGATCGATGATGCTCAGAGTAGCCATGGTGTGAGGCTCATTTACGGAGGCATTGCGGTCCTTTGTAGAGACGTTGATTTGGAGAACAGCGTGAGAACGAGAGGACGTGGCGTTAGCTTCGGTAGGAGACATGGTCCGGTTATGATTTCCTCGAACGAGCATTTCCATGACTTCTTCAACCTGAGATCGGTTAGCTATTACTTTTTCTCGAGGACATGTCTCTTACATTTTTCGGCCTGTGGCTCGAGAGGCCGCCGACCGAGACTGCCTGATTGGCATCTTCCCTCAGTGTCAAGCCGGCCTTGCTACCACCAGGGACCAGCAGATCTCTGATGGTCTCGTTGTAAATCTCAAGGTAAGAAAGCGAAACGTCCGAAGCCTTGGTCTCGTGTAGCTCTCCAAGGCGTTCATAGAGCTCCTGCATGGTGAGGAAGATGATACCCGGCTGTTGCGGCGTGCCCCTGCAGCTGAGTTAGCTCGTGGGATTATCGACACAAAAGCGTCCGCGACACATACGTAATCGTGTGCGTCTTTCCACAGCCGGTGGCACCGTACGCGAAAACGGTGGCATTGTAGCCTTCCAGGACATTGTCGAGGAGCGGTTTGGTGGTGCCTTCGTAGACGTCGCCTTGGGTGATGTTCTCATCGAAGACCCTGTCGAAAGCGAAGGTCTGGTCCTTTGTCTTCTTGCTGTGGGGCACAACGCTGCGAGAGAAGCGTGATATCGGATTGCTCTCGGGCGGGTCGAAGACTCTTTGCAGGTGATGGTGAGCGATTGCAGATCGCGCCACAAACGAGCGGGCACAGGGGCTGGGGTGACTTACAGGCAGCGGTCGTCAATGACCCTGACGACGGAACGCAGGCCTTTGGCATGGAGCTTGGGCGGAGCGGCAGCTAGGGAGCCGTCGCCCAGGAAGACCGGGCCGTCGTCGTTCTTCACAAGCTGGGCGGCCTCGCGGATGGTGAAGGGCCGCACGCGGACGGCGACGGAGATGGAGGATTCGCCGTCGGCCATGGTGTGGGGTGCTGTCGCGGCGTGGTGGTGTGCAGCTCGCGGGCGCAGGCGCTGTCCGGAGGTCGCTCGCAGTCGTCAGGTTGAGCCCCGGATTTGACGCAGCGCCGGGAGTCGCTCTTGCTGCCGGGCGGCCCTGTTGTGTGTTTACTTTTGCGCTCCTTCGGGACTAGCGCGGCTGACCTAAGCCGGTGGCTGCCCCGATTGGCTGGGTGCCGGGGCGCCTGCCTTCACCGCCCTCAGAGCGCGGACCCTGAACACGTCGGGCTGCAGCCGTGGAGCCGCCAGCGTCATCGCCAAGCAACACGTTGCCCCCTTGCTCACGTCGCACAGTGCACATTATTTTCCGTTGATTGATGAATTTCATTCTGGGGTTTCTAGTCCGTAGTCATGCCCATGCCCAGGGTATCTCCAGCCCGTCCAGGGCGCTGTCTGTACATACGTTTGCGTGTACATTGCCCTCCGCCGATGCCTTGCGGTGACTCGTTTCTATAGTGATATGCAGCGAAAAGAACCCAAATGCAGCTAGCCACCCAATAAAATGTCGCCAGCGAAGGGGTGGTCAGAAGGGCGCTGCCCAGGCCAGTGGTAGGCCCTTCTGCTAACGAATGACGACGAAAAAAAAAAAAAAACTGTTACAGAAGAAGAGAAGGGTCATCAAAAGTGAAAGGTCATGGTCATGTACTCCATCGCTATGCAATCAGTCGTGAATCGTTCCAGCATCTATGCGAAAACGTAGGCGATCGTGAAGAAGATCATGGTAGTCATCATCAGCGACGGCGCAGCCATCGATGAGGGAGCAGCACCCGTGGCAACCTGGCGACCGACAATGCTCTCGGTGCCGATGAAGCCGATCGGTGCTGTCTGCTCTTCTGCCTGCTCTTCTGCGGGCTCTTCCTCGCTGTCGGCCTTGACAACACCCCGACGGTGGTGGACAGAGCGGCGCTTGGGCCCCACCTCAGCTTGGGGCCGGCGGGAAGCACCACGAGCGCCAAGCGCCATGGTGGTGGTCAGGTACTGCGTGACGAGCGGGACGTCTCCGGTGACGGTAACCATCTGGGTGACCATGCTCTTGGTGGTCGGCGAGGCAGTGATGGTGACATAGACGGTCTCCAGAGGGTCGGAAGCACCTGCGGTAGGCGTGGCAGCGCTGGCGGCCGAAGAGACTGGGGTCAAGCCAGGAGTCGAGCCAGGAGTGCCAGGAGTGCCAGGAGTGGTTGCCGCGCTGGAAGCACCCGAAGCAGCAGCCATTCCCTGGGTGGGATTGGTGGTCAGAGCAGAGCGATCGCTGTAGTTGGTGACTGCCTTGCTCTGAGGGTCTTGCTGCTCCAACTTGTACTTTTGCTGCGAGCTTCCGGCGGCAAAGCTCTGGAGGGTGTTGGCGGCCGTGATGTCGACGTCAGAGCAGGTGGTGTACCACTCATCCTTGCCGTCGGGGTATGTCGGGTCTGCCCCCGCGGCGGTAGGCCACTGCCACACCCAGTAGAGCGTGTAGGTCGCACCAGCCTCCTGGTCCTCGGGGATTTTTACATCCGTCTCGCAGTACTGCTCGTTGTAGGAGTCGGGCTGGCCGGGGTTCGGGTCAGGAAACTCCTTCTGGCGCTGTACGGAGATGGGGCTCGAGTTGATCTGGTAGCAGCGGCCATCGTCGAAGTTGTTGGTCGCCAGCAACTTTCCGCGCTTGTCACCGCCAGTGCCGTCCTCGCTCCACTCGAGAACGGTGGTGAGCTTCTCGTCGTCCTTGGGCTCGGTAGTGCCATAGACGAAGATGGTGCCACCCTTCTCGGGCTTGCCCTTCTGGTTGTTTGGCAGGGTGACATGGCCGTTCTCGGCGTACTTCATGGCGGCGTAGTCACCGGGAGCGACGCTGAGGCGAGGCCAGTTCTCGGACTGGGTCTGCTTTTGCTGCTCCGGGCGGCAAAGGTTGTCGCTGGCGTTGACGCGGAGTCTGCCGGAGTCGAGAGGAGGGAGGAGCCACTGAGAGCTGGCGCCACCGTTGAAGCCAGGGTCGGTGCGAGCGAGGTAGCCTCGGGGATAGCCATAGTTGCCGACGTAGGCGCCGTTCTTGATGACCGAGAGCTGCTCGATCCAGGTGTGAGCCGCGGCCTGCGTGAGCAGGAGCGCGGCGACGAGGAGGCCGAGGATTTGGTGCGTCATGGTCGAAGGGTATTATACGATGCTCGGAACGGGGTTGGAGTCACTTCTGGAATCTTGAACCTGCAAGATTTGCGTGGTGCGCTGGAGTGGTGAAGTGATTGCGGTGGAAGAAAGGAATGCAGAAAATCCCAAACCGAAGTAGAAGTGGTTAAATAGGGTCGAGTCCGGCACGACTTAGTTGAATAGCACAATAGGAAAGTTGAACAAGACCATTGTCGAGATTAGGCAGCCATTGTTGCGGCTCTTTGAAAGGGTCGCGGGTGAGGTCGAGCAAAGGCTAGAGGCACAAACAACGGGCACGACGGCACGACTTAAGAGGGAACAAAGGCAGACCGCCTAAACAAACGCAGCGGCCCCGGGCGGTGGCTGGAACAGGAGCGCGCAGCACACGACAGCCAATGGATCCGGCGGGCGGCGCGGCAGCGAAACCACAGCCGAGATCTGAGTAGGCTTCTTTGTGCTCCACTCCAGATGAGACAGCCGCAATAGGGCTGGCCGGGACTCGCATGCAGGGCCGGGGCGCGGTTGGCTCACAACGGCCACGCGCGCGCGCTCGGGAACTGCCCCCAGCGGGCGCACAGGATCCCCCCGGATCGCCAGCCTGCGAAAATCACGGTGGTGAGCACGGTGGTGGATCGCCGTTGGCTGCACGACACAAGCGCGCCCCGGCAGCGGCGTTTCTCAGCGAAGCGAAGGACGGCCCACGGCCGTGTTTTCTAGAGGCCCGCGAGAAGCAGCGCGGCGCGCAGGGCGAGTGGCTGTCGGCGCTCGCACAGCGCACGCGGCAGTGGGGTCGCGGGCTCGGCAAGTCTGGATCGTGTGTCAGGTCCGTGAGAGAGATCGGGGGGTGGGTTGCGGACGGCGTGGGGAGGCCAGCGCTTCGTGGTTTCAGCAGGGCGGCGCGGCTGCACCCTCGATTGGCTGTCGGCTGCCCAAACGCCGCGCGACGCAGCCCGCCGGTCACGACGACACTTCACCTCCTCGCCCGCTCTCCCACTCCTCGCCCGCCCGCCGTGGCTCCTTAGCCAGTTCTGATACGGCACGGGTCGTCGCAGATTGCCGAGCACTGCGACCGCCCGTGCTTCACCCAGAGCCGTCGCCTCGAAACGTTATCGTCACCCTCGCTGCCGCCGTCGATCCCGCGACGCTTTGCGCAATCGAGTCGCCTGGAGTCACGTTGCGCAAACAACAATATGCCTACGCGCCAGTGCCAGCACCCCCGGAGCCGATCGTGTCACGCGAGACATCTCCAGTCAATGTGCGACCGCTTTTGAGTTGCGAGCCGCCAGGTGCCTGGGCCGTCCTCGCAATATACATATCTCCCGTGTCCCAACTTCCGCGCGAGCGCCTACGGAGATGAACGCCCCCACTGCCGGTTTTTCGCGGTGCTTCCCGCTCCTGATGTAGAAGCGGTCCGGAACCACGAAGCGCTGGTACAACCTATGATGGCACGCCCCCGGGATGCTGCAGGAAGCCCAAGGCAGAGTTGACCGGCAGCCTTCGAGATGCCTATCCGCAACCGACGGATCCAGCTACGCCCCAGCCGCCCCACGCCGACTCCCGCGCTCTTACTCTCCGGTCACGACTGCATCCGTCGGGAAACACCACGCGCCGTGTTGGCCTATCACTGCTCGAAACGGCCCGCTTCGGGCACCGATTTCGCCATGCTCCTGCGCGCTGGACTGGTCGTCGTGTACTACCAAACTTTTTCAAAACGGCCGCCGAGTATTTGCTCATGAGGTGCATTGCCGCTACTGCCGACATGTGCTGCTGGCCACTGTTGGTCCGAGACACGTGTTCACCGCTCTGTTAGCTTCGGCCTTTGTCAGCTTGGCCTCTGTGGCCAAGTGCGGTGGTGGCTTGGACATACGACATCTGCTTTTCAGTGCGCCGCATCACGAGTGCCCATGTCGCCGTCTCGCCATTATCATGTCCACCCCCTTGGCGCCATACTTGAAATGAAAAAATCGCTTCCGTGTTCAGCACAATCTGAGCCGCCAAAGCCACCCAAGACACGCGTCAACAAGCGCTTAGGGCTTTCGATGCCCAGACTTCAGGCTGCGTGTTCTCGACTCCGCAAAGATAGCTTCCACTCGCCCGCGCTATCGCGAGGCATGAATGAAGCCCCTTGCTGTCATTATACAGTTGGACCTAACCTCGATAGTCAACCGGGCACCTTGTAACGTGCGTCCATGTCAACTCAGTTGGTGCTACAATTGCTACGCAAGATAGCGACCTGTACTAGTAGAGTATGAAAGCTTGCCTCGATACCCCGCTCGGTCTGTGTAGGCTTTCTGCCCTGCGAGGAGCTACTGTGCTGTTGAGACTGCTTTCCCATGTCTTGATTGAATGTCTCCCATTTGAACCATCCCATGTCACCACTTTTTGTCACTCGCGCTCAAGCTATGGGCAACTCGATCTCCGTCATGGCGCCACTTCTCGACCGGTGGAATGGTGCTGGTATTCTACGCTTGTTCCTCAAACGTGGATGAGCCGACCTATTTAGCAGAAAGACAAGTAGCCCGTTGTCCGTTGGGACATTAGCATAATCTTTATAATTCATCGCTGCCCTGGTCCCCTCTTTTTGAATTTGCGTCGGCATACAATCGACGTTGAGATTGATACCCTTCTTTGAACACAACAATCCATAGTACCTCCACCAAAGCATTGAGCAATATTGTTCATGGCGCGCCTACACCGTCTCAGATGTTCGCAAGTTCAGGTCACAACCACACAGGCGGTGTACAGTCCCCGCTGGGACGATTCGCTCGAGGATCTGAAGCGCGAGCTTACGGGTCAGACGTTGGAGGTTCATTTCAGTAGTAAGTGATCTGAGCCGACCGTTCGCCCTGCCAATTCTTTGTTGACCAAGATGTCACGTCGGCTAGTCACATCAGGCGAACAAATACTTCGCGCGCCAGTTAGAGAACCTCCTCGTCGATCCTCGAAAGCCCGTTTGTGCGTCATGGTACGCCGTGCCGTGTCCTCTCTCATGCGGCCGCGGTACCGGAAGTTGCGCAGCTGAGCTGGATATTTGAGCAGAGTCCAGAGTAACGGGCTCTTGATGCTTTCACGTTGAAGCTGATTCAGTGGTGCTGCACATTTTTGGCGTTCACGGAGTTTCGTGGTTCAATGCGGGCCAAGTCTCAATGCCGGGAGGTCTTCCATCTTGGATATTTACGCTCAATCACGTTGGTATGGAGGATGGGTATGACATTAATATTGCTTGTAATGACGACGAGATAATATGCCAACCGGGCTCAAACATCAAATCTGATGAAACATTTGCTGAAGTTGTATGGAATCGCAAAGGTGCGCAAAGGCGGTTGACAGATGCTTAGGGCATTGTGACCATGGAAATTCTCTACTCTCTCTCATCGATGATAGCATTATTACTTCCGCAATCGAGTATAGTGCCTGATGCTACCTGCAACCTTGAACCTCCCTCCGTCATCAAGCCTGTGTAGATTCAACAACCCAACGCCATTTCCTCGGCCTCTCACCTACAGCTTCGCAGCCCCCTCCGTGTCCGCGATCCTGAAAACATACTTCACCGCGCTCGCCTTCCCGTCCCTCAGATTCTCCAAGGCGGTCTGCACGCCCCCCAACCCTCCCGGCACGACCTCCTGCGGCTGCGGCGTCAGCCAACCCTCCTTCAAGCCCCGCCCAAACAGCCTGAACCACACGAAACCAAACTCCTTCGCATCCCCGTGCACAGCGCCGACGTTCGTCACCGTCTTCACCACATGCTGCGCCAAGCCGTCGTACTGCTTCCCCGGCAGCACCAGCGTGATCTTGCCGCCGGGCGCCAAGCACTCGCCGAGCTGCTCGTAGCTGCCATGGTCGGACACGGCGTCGAACGCGTGCAGCAGCGGCGCGGCGGCGGGCAGCGCGGCCTTGATGCCCGCGACGACGCCGGGGCCGCCCTGCCGGTAGTCGACGACGGCGTCGCCCTTGGAGCGGTCGAGCAGGCGCTCGACGTGGGCGGCGCCGCGGCCGGCGACGCAGATCAGCGGGTGGATGTTGGAGCGCGACGCCAGCTGCATCGCGTACGAGCCCACGGCCGAGGCGGCGCCGTAGATGACGAGCGGCGTGGGGCGGGTGGGCGGATCGGCGGGCTGGCGCCAGGGCTCGGGGAGCTCGAGGCGCAGGTACAGGCCGACTGCGGCTGTCATGGCGGCGAGCGGGATGGCGGCGGCTTCTGTTTTGGTGGTGCGAGATGCGTGTGTTAGCGGCAGGGGATTAAAAAAGAAAGAATTGCCGTAGCCCGTCTGACAAAATTAACACCTACTGACCTTCGAAAGTCGTGTCCTTGGGGATGTGGAAGGTCGTGTGCGCCCAGGCGATGGCGTACTCGGCATAGCTGCCGTGCGGCTGCATCATCTCATGGAAAGCGGCCACACGATCTCCGCGTTTGAACTCGGTCACATTGGCGCCGACCTTCTCGACGACTCCCGCGATGTCGTCGCCTTCGTTGCGGGCCGTCTTGGTCCAATCAGGCAGCTTCCTGTTGTTGTAGTGTCAGAGCTACCAGAGAACTTTTTTTTTTTAACTTTTCTTTTGTTAAGTAAGCTAGCCAGGACCGAGGATGTTTTGATGGGATGGTCGAGACGACGGTGGGTGTAAACAGTTGCCGCATTGATGGCTCCCTGACTTTCTCGTGGGGCATCTTTCCTTCATTCTTTTTGTACCTACCAGTCCTTGGGGTTGCTTCCTGAGACGACGACTTTGATGAGGACTTGATCGTCATTGGGGGTCGGGATGGGAGAGTCGACGATCTCGACCTTGACTCCGGGGTGGACAATAGCTTCCTTCATGATGAATTGTTGATGGCAGTGAACGACCGATATGCGAGAATCAGAGAGCCGTCGATTGGTCGGCCATATATCATGCACATTAGCAGCAGGATTAATAATGGCGCGGTGGGGTTCGGACGTCTTTGGAGAGCAGTAGAACTCGGAACCCGGTGGTTGCGTCATCCGAGCGGACATAAAGCGGGTTTACGCCCGTCCCCTCATTCCATGCCGTTTCAGTCTCCGCACCGTCGTCCCCTACTGATGGTTAACGCATCTGCTGGAAGACTCGAGGCGCCAGAGGTTTCGGACTGCTGGTGTCTTGACATTTTCCAAAGCCGTATATCTCACATCAATAAGCGAGAACATGGTTCATAGCTGCGGTGTGCAGCAAAATAAGATAGAGAGACCGAGATCCAATAAGAATTAAACCAACACTTCAGGCCACTCCGGAATGCTCCGGCCCTTGAATGTCAACTTCAACGATGAGGTCGCCTCTGCTCGACGGATCACTCGATCTCGGTAGGCCAAAGTCATGGAAGACTTTGGTCCACCTGCCTGTCGTGTTTTTTGGGCCTTTGACCTTGAGGATCCGATTGCATATCGTCTTGACTTCTTTGCGCCATCCAACAATCGACTCCGCCAGAGATATTTCTATCGTGGTATGCAAATTCGAGCCATCACGCCGGAATAGGGAATGTGGGATCTACAAATCCATGTCATTAGCAAGACGTCAGGACTCATCTGTGGCAATGGTGCTTCACTCACGTCTTTGACAATGAACCATACGTCTTGAGGCACACCATCCGGTCCCTGGTTGCCCACGCCTGAGTACTTGATTTTGCTCCCAGCTCTAAGACCCTTTTTAATAGGGACGGCAAGTTCCTTTAGTTCCGCCCTGGTGCCACCGGTCCGTTGGTCAAATATCTCCCTTTCGATAGTGACTCTACGTTGTGTACCGTTAAACACTTCCTCTAGCGACACTTCGATTGGATGCCGAACGACATCCGCTGGTCTAGGAGGTGGTAGAGGGGAATGCGGTTGTGGGCGCGTCGGCGTCCGTTCGCCTGATACTGGCGACATCTCCCTTGGGCTGTCTGCAATATATGAATCCCATCTTCCGGCCCGACTTCCGGGAATCTCGGCACCAACATCAACTTCTACTGGCCTTGGATGCACGTAGGGATCGAGTGCAGGGCTTCCTCGGTAATGACCATTCGAGCCTCCAAATATGGCGGAATCTCTGCGACCTGGAGAGGAAGTACCATGTCCCGCGTATGAAGGCTCACGACGGAATGCGTTGTGTAGGGCCGGTGTAGGTCGAACTTCGATGCGGCGCTGCACTGTGCTAGCACTGTATAACGCGCCGTTGGGCATGGCAAAATAAGTCACCTGCCCGAAGCTATCGCGAGGGAGGCGCCAACATTCGGCCAGAATCTCTTCCTCCTCCTCTTGGGTGAAGTCAGAGCAAAACTCACGGCTGGTTGACTGAAGTCAGCAAATACGGAATGAAGGGCATTTGAAGGGATGCTCACAACTTCTGCAGCTCCTCTCGCCTTTTCTGTTCGGCTTCCCACGTCCGCTTTTGTTCTTCAAGCATCTCTGCCTCCTCTTTCAGTTTTCGAATTTCGTCTTGAATGGTCATCTTTTCGTCTTGCATCAGCTGCAGTTCCGTGTCAACTCTCCGATGTTTTCGCTTCGCGCCAGCCAGCGGATCATAGTTAGTTGCGCCATCTTGGCTTCGTTCATGTGAGTTTTCCTGAGGCTCGGCAGGTATTGAGAACGAATCCCGGTCCACCCGAGGGACAGAGCTACGAGAAGGCAGCGAAATTGTTGTTGACGAAGGGAACGGGTCGTCTTCGCCTTCAACGTAGTCCTCTACCGTAGGTCGGTGGTATCGAGTCTTCTTCTGGCGCTGGGGCTCCTCACTAAAAGAACCATCGGTAGAGGGAGGCGGGAATGTATCTGTGGGAGAGTCCGGGAGCTCGATAACCCCGTCATCATCCGAGTCGGCATCTACATCGTCGAACTCTAGCATGCCTCGTCCCACAAGGGCAGGTTGTTGAAGTTCGTCAGCAAGGGCGTCCCAGTCGACAATTTTGGTAAGAATGAAGGGCTGCCTTCGTTTAGAGAGGATGTCCTCGACCAGTGTGTAGAGTTGGGCCTTCATGATCTCCAAGGCCGCTGTGGTGGCCCGGTCATGGAAATCCTGGAAAGAGTTCCTGCGGTCACATAGCTTCTCGCGCAGCTCTGATACCTCCCTGTCCAAGGCCTTGATAGAGGCATGTCTCTGCGATGAGAGGCCACCGAGAAACCTCTCGACTTCACGGAGGTCTTCAACACATTCTTCGAGCAGCTCATGAAGTTCAACTTCGGTATGGTGGTCGCAGCGTTTGAGGAACGCCTTCGAATCGGCGAGCTCCTTCTCGAGGCTGACAAGGCCATAGAACAAGTCGCGGACTGTACGAAAGAGTTAGCACAACCGTTGGCCACCAACGAAACGTGCCGCGGAACATCGAGAACTTACGCTCGGCCCGTAATTCCTTGAAGCGCGGACCCGCACTGTCGCCTATCAACGCGTGTTAGTTGCGAGTCGTGCTCGATCATTCGTTGACCTTTTGTAGCTTACAAGTCTGCGACTGCTTCCAAGCCAAATCACAAACGCTCTTCAGGTGGCCGACAACCTTACTGGACTCATGGAACGCCGCCATTCGAGTGGACACACTTTTGAGCGGAGAAGGATCGGGCTAAAGTGAGGCTACCACTTAGCGGTGATCAAGGCAGCCTTTGGTTTTAAAGAGCCCAGTCTTGCGACGCTGTCAGCTGCAGCCCGTGCAACCGGCTTCGTCCTGATTCGCATGTGGATGTTGAGCCCATTGCTGCCTGGCGCAAGGCTGAAGGAGGCGTCTGTTGATGGGCTTGCATCCTTAATGGAAAAAGAAAATAGGCGCGGTAGTCTGATCAGCCCATATTGGTCCCCAGGTGTGCATAGCATGGGGGACGCTGTTTTGCTGCAGTCAATTGTTGCTACATCAAGGTCCGTGTTCCACCGTCTGTTGTTTGCATCTCCCACAGGTAGTACAGACGAATGCAGCACGGCTAAATACATGTCCAGGGCTGGAAGGTCGTATTATTGGCGTGCACTCATCTCGACTGGACAGGTTGCAGCAGGTGGTCACGTTCCACCCGCGCGTATCCGTCCCATTCGTCTTGCGCCATAAGCAAGCTTATTCCATGCACGGTAGCTTTGCAAAGACGGGAAGCTTTCCGGACAATCTGGTAACTACTGCACAGGCCGTTGGCACATTGCTGGTGTCTGATCCATTGGGCTTCTCGGTGGGAAACAAGGGCAAGGGTAAGAAAACAGCCTTTAGGTAATTTACAAATGCGTGAGTGTGTTAACAATCAGTTAGACCTTACGGTGGGGCAAGCTCGTATAACTTAGGTTGCCTGTCTGCGATTAGAAACCCAGGCATTCTCAATAATTGGCACCTGGGTTGTAAGGCTGACTTCAGAAAAAGATTGCTGTAATTAGCCGTCAGAGGGCCAGCTGAAAGAGTTATGACCACCGCAAACACCATTTTGACAAGAGGTATCGTAAAATTGCCGCGAAAGTCGGAGCGTAAGCGCAAAACCTTTGGGAGATTTCTTTTTTATTCGTGCAACCAGTCCGATCGTTATCTCCCATTGAGCGACGAACCGGTGTCAGGCACAATGTTCTTGCGCCAAAAAGCCGTAGAAGCCCATCCCGGTTTTTGAATACGCATCCGCTGACTCCGACCGCTAATGTATAGTTCCCCCCTCAACCCTCGAAGCTAACCATTTAACGCTTCTTCTGCTGGGACTCCTTGAGGACCTTCTTGACGATCTTCTGCTCCTCGATGAGGAAGGCACGGACGACGCGGTCCTTGACGCAGTTGGCGCACCGCGAACCACCGTAGGCACGCTGGACGGTCTTCTTAGGGCGGGAAATCGTGGCGTACTCGTGGGGGCGGAGAGCAGGGACCTATTTCGACGTAATTAGTATCCGCATCGAACATTTTGATTGCAGACATCGGTCCCGGCGATCCTATGCGTCGAGGTAGGAGACGTCATTTCCGCCGCAATCAGACCGGGCGGCTTGCAAAACATATCCGTAGCCATCCCATCGCAAACAACCATTGCCCGTCTCTTGCATCAAATCGCCCGGGATTTCCAATGTGCAGGTAAGAATGGGCAATCCACTTACACCCGCGAGCTTGGAGCCGCAGTCACCGCACTTGGGAGCAGTGCCCTTCTTCTTGAGGTGAAGGTAACGGAGCTGACCGCCGGGGGTCTTAACAACGCGGACCTTGTTGGACCGGGTGTTGTAGCTGCATCAATTCGGTCAGCCGTGGTCGTTCGAGCGGAGTGGTAGGGCGAGGCGAGCAATTTTCGGTCGCGATGGACGTGGAGAAGACTTACGGGGTGCGGCGGCGCTACAAGCAAAAAATTGTCAGCATAACATCCAGGCAAGGTGAAAGGTCGAATGCATCGGGGTGCACATACGTAGGTCAGACGGTTGGACGGCATCTTGTCGGTATTTGCGGGCTGTGATGCGCGGGGGTGTCGTTAGTCGTCGTTGTCGCGGTGTGCCGGCTGTCGCGATGGTTTTCCACAAGGCCAGGAAACTGCGTGCGAGCCTCGCCTAGTTTTTCCGACGCCGGTGCCAAGTCTTTGGCCGGCCCGTGCACGCATCGCTCGCGGAAAATCTCCAAGTCGCAGCGCAGCTGCACGCCCACGCCACCCCAGACGCGTCGCCGCATCTCAATTCAAACCCCATCACTGGTGTGAGAGGGTCGCGCGCAACCTTCGACACACGTGCATCTCCGCCCTCCTTCCCCGAGTACGCGTCATCTGAGGACCGCGTCTGTGGCGTCGACAACCGCCTCGGGCGACCGAGCTTGGGTTGCCTACCACGCACCTCCACACCCGCCGTCGAGCTCCGCAAACCCACCTTTGATCCATCCAGCGCACCACTGCGCGCATTGAACTCCACCGTCGCTATGTCGCTTCCTCCTCCACCCCCGCCGGGCTGGTCAGCCCCTCCTCCGCCTGGCGCCCCACCCGGCATGTCTGCGCCACCACCCCCAGGTTATCGCCCACCTGCCGACCCGCAAGTAGCAAAGTTCGCACAGAAGAAGAAGGAATGGCTCCGGATGCAGAGGCTAAGATTTGGAGAGAAGCGGAAGGCCGGCTTCGTGGAAACGACAAAGGCAGATATGCCGCCGGAGCACTTGCGGAAGATCGTCAAGGACATTGGTGATGTCTCGCAAAAGAAGTTCAGCAGCGACAAGCGGAGTTACCTGGGTGCGCTCAAGTTCATGCCGCACGCCGTGCTGAAGCTACTGGAAAACATGCCCATGCCGTGGGAAAGCACACGCGAGGTGAAAGTGCTCTACCACGTGAACGGCTGCCTCACTCTGGTCAACGAGATTCCGCGTGTCATCGAGCCAGTGTTCCATGCCCAGTGGGCAACAATGTGGGTGTGCATGCGCCGAGAGAAGAGCGATCGAAGACATTTCAAGAGAATGAGGTTTCCGCCTTTCGATGATGAGGAGCCGCCGCTTTCGTGGTCCGAGAACATCGAGGATGTTGAACCGTTGGAGCCCATCCAGATGGAGCTCGACGAGAATGAGGATGGTGCCGTCTATGAATGGTTTTACGATCACAGGCCACTCTTGGATACCCCGCATGTGAACGGACCGAGCTACAAGACTTGGAACTTAAGTCTTCCTCAGATGGCCACTCTCTATCGTCTCAGTCATCAGCTACTGAGCGATGTGGTGGACAAGAACTACTTCTACCTTTTCGACCAGAACAGTTTCCTGACCGCCAAGGCCTTGAACGTGGCAATTCCCGGTGGTCCTAGGTTCGAGCCGCTCTACAAGGATATCGATCCCAACGACGAGGACTTTGGAGAGTTCAACGCCATTGATCGTATCATTTTCCGCGCGCCAATCCGCACCGAATACCGTGTTGCCTTCCCTTTCCTTTATAACTCTCTGCCAAGAAGCGTGAAAGTTTCTTGGTATTCCTACCCTCAGGCTGTGTACGTCCGCGCCGAAGATCCCAGTCTACCCGCCTTCTACTTTGATCCTGTAATTAACCCCATTTCCTCCCGCGCCGTCGCACCCAAGAACATCGATATCCCGCATGAGGATGAGATCTTTGGAGAGGACGGTGAAGACGATTTTGAGCTGCCTGCCGAAGTCGAGCCATTTTTGGGCGAGCAGGAACTGTACACAGAAGACACCGCATCTGCGATTGCCCTGTGGTGGGCGCCTTTCCCTTTCGACCGCCGGTCTGGACGTATGGTTCGCGCCCAAGATGTGCCTTTGGTGAAGCAATGGTATCTTGAGCATGTCCCACAGGGACAGCCGGTCAAGGTCCGGGTTTCCTATCAGAAGCTTCTCAAGACTTACGTCCTGAACGAGCTTCACAAGAAGCCACCGAAGGCCTTGAACAGCCAGAATCTCATGAAGTCGCTAAAAACGACCAAGTTCTTCCAGCAGACCACCATCGATTGGGTCGAAGCGGGTCTTCAGGTCTGCAGGCAGGGTTTCAACATGCTCAACCTTCTCATTCATCGCAAGAACCTTACTTACCTCCACCTCGACTACAACTTCAACCTTAAGCCTATCAAAACCCTGACGACCAAGGAGCGCAAGAAGTCTCGATTCGGAAACGCGTTCCACCTGATGCGTGAAATTCTCCGCTTGACCAAACTCATCGTCGATGCCCAGGTACAATACCGTCTCGGCAACATCGACGCTTTCCAGCTGGCGGATGGTATTCTGTACGCGTTCAACCACGTCGGCCAATTGACTGGTATGTACAGGTACAAGTACAAGCTCATGCATCAGATTCGTACCTGCAAGGATCTCAAGCACTTGATCTACTACAGGTTCAACTCTGGACCCGTTGGCAAAGGTCCTGGTTGTGGTTTCTGGGCTCCTGCGTGGCGCGTCTGGCTCTTCTTCATGAGAGGTATCATCCCTCTTCTCGAGCGCTGGCTTGGCAACTTGCTGTCTCGCCAATTCGAAGGTCGCCACAGCAAAGGTGTTGCAAAGACCGTCACAAAGCAGCGCGTGGAATCTCATTTCGATTTGGAGCTGCGCGCCTCCGTCATGGCCGACCTCATGGACATGATGCCCGAGGGCATCAAGCAGAACAAGGTTAACACCGTTTTGCAACACTTGTCTGAAGCCTGGAGATGCTGGAAGAGTAACATCCCCTGGAAGGTGCCCGGTCTTCCTGCTCCTATCGAGAATATCATTCTGCGTTATGTCAAGAGTAAGGCAGACTGGTGGGTTTCAGTGGCCCATTACAACCGTGAGAGAATTCGGAGAGGCGCCACGGTAGACAAGACCGTCGCAAAGAAGAACTTGGGCCGCCTCACTCGCCTATGGCTTAAGGCGGAGCAGGAAAGACAGCACAACTACATGAAAGACGGTCCTTACGTTTCTTCAGAGGAGGCTGTTGCCATCTACACGACCATGGTCCACTGGCTCGAGTCAAGGAAGTTCCAGCCCATCCCGTTCCCGAGTGTGTCCTACAAACATGACACGAAGATCCTTATTCTGGCGCTCGAACGTCTGCGTGAGGCATACTCCGTCAAGGGCCGTCTGAACCAGAGCCAGAGAGAAGAGCTGGCGCTCATTGAGCAGGCTTACGATTCTCCTGGTACCAC